AAAAAATAAAATGTAATTAATTGGATATTTGTAAGGAAAAGAATGCAGGGCTAAATTTTAATGCAGTGTCTTAATACAGAAAATGCCACTCTTTCAACAGAATTTATCTTCCAATTTATAGGAACTCTTGTACATTGCAAGTATTTTGAGGTGATTCTCTACAAGAGCCATCAGCATGGCCAAATCTAGGAACTGCTTATCATGGGATCCTTTAATGCCCCTTACTTCAGTTGATAGCAACTTCCCTTTCTCTAACTCTAACTTGGTTAAATCTATATGTACAAAGAGGTAAGGTTTTTAAGCTATTGCTTTTAGAAATCGAGTGCCCAAAAACTGGCCCCGCCCCTGCTCCACCCCCACCCCGCCTGCCTGCAGGGCCACTCACCGCCTCAAGGGCCCGCCTCAAGGGCTCGCCGCAGATCACCCAGGCACCCCAGCAGCGCCATAATGGCCATGCCCTCTGCACATCAACTGTGCATGATGGGGTATGAGGGCAGAGTCTTGTTTACGCTGCCTTGCTGCCATGTCCTTGGCTGCACTGCTCCACGTGGGCCACACTCGGGAGCAACTCTCCTCCAGGGGGACTGCTGGTGAGGAGGGGGTCGTGGGGGGAGGCAAGGCTGGGGCAACGGTACGTGTGCTCACAGAGAGGGCTCCAAGTGCCGCCTCTGGCACCCGTGCCACAGGTTCGCCACCACTGCGCTATAGTGACTTGTTTCAAATATAAGTTATAATGGGTAGGTTCACATACATTAATTTAAACTTGACCTTTTAGGTGAACTAGTTTTTATTTCAGCAAGACAAGGAAAGATCTAATAAGTAGGAAATTATCATGCTAGATGTTGTTCTGGACATTGTGGATTTGAGGAATGCTACTTGCTGAGATGAGCCACATCAAAGCATGTCCAGAAGTTACCTACAGAACACACACCTAGTAAGAAGTCTGATCATGGCAAATAAGACCTCCATTTGTATCCATATACACAACAGGTATCCAATTATTATAAAGATTCAGTTAAATTCTACCACACTTGCTGGGACCAAACCCTGGCGCTTACTTTGAAATCAACATCTTAAAAAGCATCATTTGTAGCCTAACCCAGATAATCTTTTTCTTTTTTTCTTCTTTCTTTCTTTCTTTCTTTCTTTCTTTCTTTCTTTCTTTCTTTCTTCTCTATCTCTCCTTTCCTTTCCTTTCCTATCAGGTGATCACCCTAAGCTTTCTTTAATGCAATTCTGGATCAAATTAAGCATCATTTCTCTCCCAATGAACTATATTGACAAGTTTCTATCATACTAATGATTATCTGAGCATTTTTGGCCTAGAGCAAAAAGACTTAAAAAATAAGCTCTTTTCTGCCTATTCACATTTTGCAATGTGAAGAGCAAAGAGAAGCTTTGATAGGGCTGCTGCCCTGACGTCACACATCAGCTGCTCATTCACATGCACAAAAGTAGGGACTGGCTATCTGTGGCTGAGCCTTTACAGGACTCTGTCAAAGGTTCTCCTCCTTTGCATACTGGGGGAAGGAGGAAAAGAGGAAGAATTGGAGTCCTTTGCCTATATCTTAACTGACATGGGATTAAGTCACTGAGCAAAGCCAATGTTGCTGCTGATCTTTACACTCTAGCTAAGTTGACTCCAGGAGTTGAAAGAATTAGTAACTGATCAGAGAGGCCTGAAACATTGTGGTTCCATCAACTCAGAAATGCTATAAGAATAGGAGTTGGGGCAGGCATCCAAATATAGTACAACTGGGTACTTTATTGAGGTCAGAAAAAATACTGTAGCATTATTTAAACTCCTCCTCCTCCTCACTATAAAGTCCAAAGTTTCAATTTATCTCATAATTCTTTGTTTCAACATCCATTCTTCACTTTTTTCTTCTTCTTTGGGGCTTCCACTGGAGATTATTTCTGGGATTATAGTATTTTTTCACTATCTTTCCAATTCTGGCTACTCCTGGAATTGTCCCTGAGTCAGAAATGAATTACCCTTCCTTGAAATCCACCATTTTAATGAATCTGCAGTTTAGTATTTTTAATTCCCAATCAGGAAAGTCATATTAAACAGTAAATTTATATGAAACTGTATCCATATATATTCTTCCCTTGCTATTTTTCTCTTCCCTTTGTTGAATCTATAAACACTATAAATTCTGCAGCACAAAGTTGTGTCCCTGATATATCATAAGACATCATTCATTATAACTAAAAGATTAACAGAGACTTCTTTAATTTTGTTGCTTTCATAATATATGTATTAAACTATCAGTCCTATTCAGCAGGGCTAATGTCAAGGGGGTGACGGAACCATAACCCAAGACTTCTGGAAACATCCACATTGGCTAATGTAACAGCTCCATTCTGTTGCAAATATGTTATTTTCAATGCCATGAATATAAAAACACATCTTTTTTCTTGTTGGTGTTATAAGTCCAAATAAGTTAACAATGATGATATTATAAATAGATTTAATCAAGAGACAAAATATGAAGACAGAAACAAAAGAAATCCTTGTAAACATTCAAAGTTCAGTAACCTTAATCATTCAGAACCACAAATAAACTAGGACATGCTTCAAAAATTTAAGGATTAAGATATAGAGTTTGTAGTATAAAAAGTAGATTAAACTAGAACTGAATTGAATCTAAATTAATGTTGATTGAATTACATACTATGGTAATATAAATATCACCTTTCTCAGTTTCCTATGAGAAACTTCCTACTCTAATATCTCTATTGCCTAACATTGCCAGGAATTCTGTCCCTTTCTACCCCTTGCGTGGTTCTTGTAGATCAGTGATTCTCAACCTGTGGGTCGGGACCCCATTTGGGGTCGAACGACCATTTCATGGGGGTCGCCAAATAAGGCGGTCCGCCCTTTTTTTCCCCTTTTCTTTGGCCACGCCCCTGGCACCCAGTGATGTATAAGTGGTTGGGGGCCACCACAACATGGGGAACTGTATTATGGGGTCGCGGCATTAGAAAGGTTGAGAACCACTGTTGTAGATGGTAGAATTCATTGTGATCCTGTCAAGCAGACACTGTGGTTTAATCTTGTACACTGTCCAGAATCACTATTGTGAGTGGTCATATAAATAATTTAAATAAATACATAAGTAATGAATTGTAATTTCATTACATATTTTATATTTAAGCAGCACTGACAAAGTACGAGAAGGCTATGATATGAGAAAAACTGAATTGTGATAAATTATTCTTACAAAGCACTAGAACTTAGAATTATCTAATTAAGCTCTTAGCCTAGCAAGTTCAGCATAAATAATTCTTTGATTATCCCAAATTATAATAGTAGCTGTTGAAACAGTTGGTAAATGTCATAACTCAGAATATTTAATGTGGGGAACGATATAATTTCCTTGTGGCTTTTCAAGGGTTCCGGTTGCACCATGCTTCCATGCTCTGCAAGTGAATTTTTTTTCAAGTGACAGTTTGAACCACTGGGTAATTAAATAACTTTAGGCTCTAGTTTTTCTTTTATATTTCTTTCAAACACTTTCAGAAACTTCAAGATACTGTCTACAAATGTACTTCATTTAAAAACATTTGCATTTTAGGAATTAAGCATTTCTTGGTCAACCAGACCCACACAAAATTCCAATGATCACTCAGAATTTTCAAAGAGGCATAATTTACACAATCACTAACATGTCATTAGATCAACAGATTTTTAAGGTACAGATTTTAAAACCTAGATCTACAGCATCTCTCCCTTTGAAGATAGCTTCTTCATTCTCCCAGGTTCTTTCAAAAACTCTTCCTTCTGAATCAGGTGTATGATATTTTAACAAGAAGTCTCTTTGGTGGTAGCTATTAAATTAATTACAGTTGTATTATTATTATTGATTGGGAGAAATACTTTTGGGATTTTTCCTATTTGGGTGCTGAAATAATCTTACATTTCGTAAAAAGATTGATTTATGGCTTGGAGTATACTACCGTATTAAGTGGTGAGCCTGAGGTAGCCCTTTCTTCCAAACCAACTTCTTGGATTTTATTCCTAATTTTAGTGCCAAGATCCTCTTTATAAACTACAATTAAACCATATTGGTTACTATTGGGTTGAACTGTTTTCTATACTTTCTTAAACTGACAAAATATTTTTACTGATATATACCAACTGTTTTTAGCATCCTGATATGAAATTTGCTGTCCCTGTTGCCAGTCCCAATCTTGCCTCCATTTTGGCTACATGACTTGTCTTAGAAGATATTGTGATAAAGAAAAAAACACTACTTTAACACCATCATTTAAGGATGATTTAAACTATTTCAACATACACAGCAGCATTCTGTAATGATTGAAATGATTGACCTGTATTACTTTGATTTTAGCAGAACAATGGCTGGATGACTCTAAAAGATGCTCTCAGGAGCTAGTGACCTTGTCTCATTTCAGTGGAAAAGAGGAAGGGAGTGTCATGGGGAAAAGACAGAAAAAAACTGTTATCAGACCATATCCCTGCCATGGTTAGGTGCAAGTGGAAAAAGATTTATGACTGAAGGGAGATCACTGCATACAGGAGTGAAAACGAGAAGGCTTTTAAAAATCTTTTGCAACACGCAATTAAGTTTATTGGTTCATTAAAGCCTAATATATTGGTATTAAGTACACCTTTCCCAGCCTAGTACCTCAGTCCAGACTTCAAGCCCATCAAAACAGCTGGTGGAAACTAGTCCAGAAGGGCTCCAAAGTAAGGAACGCTAATTTCAAGGTGAATGCAGCTCCTTGTCTTTGTCAGCCCCCCTCTCCCAATTCGTTGCCTATTGAGAGGATTCTTTCTAGCCATGATCTAATTGCTCTTTGGTGCACAATTTCGCTGCAAAGACACCCACACAAGTTCTCCAGCAGAGGGGAAATTTCCACATTCTGTATCTGCAAGGCCTCCCGGTGTCCCTTTGCCTATTTGAATCTGGGAATACTTGGGGAAGGGGGGGATGCATGCACGCTCGGAGTGGCAGGTCCGCATCTTTTACCTTGGGGTCCTTCTCGTAATAATATTGCTGGGTGCGGATCCACCGTCCCACCAAGTGATCTCGCACAGTGTGCGCCAAGGCGAAAAAATAATCCCGCGGGGTGGCCACATTCCGGTCTTTCACCAGGGTGAAATGGAGGTGCCGATTGAAGCTCTTCCTGATCTCCGCCACATCACCCAACCCGGCGATGCCCCGCACGCTGATCTGTTTCCTTTTTTCGCTGTCGCTCAGCGGAACGGCCATCCCGGCTACGAAGGTCGTCTGTCTGCAACGGCCCAGGCGTCGGAGAGCTGTTCTCTCGGATAAATTTCCCTCCCGCTCTTCCTCCGGCTGCAGTCGCTCGCACGGCTAGCTGGATGCGAGGTTCATCAGAGGTGAGGGGGTAGGGTGAGAGCAAAGAGCTGCAGCCCCGATCCTCCTCCTGCTGGCGGCTCTGGCAAAGCCCAGCCCGGCCTCGCTGCGGCAGCGCCTGCGCTGTGGGAAAGGCAGCCGGAGCAACTTTCAAAACAAGAACAGCCGGCGGCCGCGGCGGCGCTTCTATGGCTTCTCGCTCCTGCTCCTTCTCTTCTCTGTGTTGGATCGTCCCAAGCCGGCCAGGATATTTTCCCGTGAAGCTGGGGAGAGGCGCAGAACAGGGGCAGCAGAAGCGCGAGGCGGATCACTCATATATTAAAGCCATCAATCCGGTGCCCAAACCAAACGTGCGGCGCGCCCTCCTGTCTTTGCAAGCGCAGCTCAGTGATGCGGAGTCTGCACATGCGCTCTTTGAAGACCAGCTTTAAGCGCGGTAGCGCTCTGTTTACAGCAACGTGGCTGGAGATCGGTGGGTGGCTGAGCTCCAGGGGATTTGGTTCTGCATATCTCTTTGCCCAGGACACTAAGCCTTAAACCGGCTGAAAGGTAACGTTAAGCTCTGCGCAGGAACAGAAAATAAGCTAAATAGTTATCACTTGTGTGAATTATACGGACTCAGTTACAGAGGTCATGAATGCCCCGCTGGAAGAACTGAGAGAAGAGATCTATCCGGGTGGTTGTTAGGAATCAAAAACGATTTGATGTCGCATCATCTTCAGTTGTATTAAATCCAGTCAAAGAAATGACAGGAGCAGCCTCTGATGAATCTCTTCTGTAATCCTCTATGCTCGCTGTCCTGATAACAGAATACAAGGTTCGTCCATCGAGCGGTCTGACAGCTCTCTCATGTGACATTTTATTCGCGGTTTTTAATTTAGTAAGGCATCAGCACGGACTATCATTTAAAGTGGATGTGGCTCGTGCCAATTTGTTAGCCTTTAGGACATCGCACGATTCAGTTAACTGACAGATGTCTGCAAATATTTGCTTTATTAATTCAATGTATAGATCACTCGACATATGACTTTGGGTAGCACCCGAACAAGTTAATCAATAAAAGCATCTACAAGCTCCCAAATCTGTGGTATCTGTATAAGTGATTGCTATCAAGTTGGTTGGGGTTTTTTGTGATCTTTCATTTAGTGAGCTTGTAAAATGTAATAAAGTAATGGTGCAAAGAGTTAACTAGTTACCCAGAAAGCGATATAAAATAGTATTATTAAGTGAACGAAGCTACAGTTATAAAGAAATTAGAAGAAAAATTGGTGGAAACTTAACCAAAGGTGGCATTTCTACTGTACACTTTCCCCAAAAGGTTTCCACAATTTTGGCCACTACTGTAATTAGCCATTTCCAGGATTTGGGGGAATGTACCTCCTTGTTCTGAATATTATACAGATGAAAGTAGGAAAAACCCTTTATAAAACCCATCAGTGCTAGTTTGGGTAATGAAACGTCTGCAAGAAAACAAGCTCAGAGAGCACCAAGGACCTCTTATATCTACTCTCTAGCATCCATGAGGGAAGGGCATCACAACTTGCCAGAGCAAAGGCTTAAATATGGTACAGTCTTAGCCATAGTTATTAAAATGTAAGCTCATTTGAACTTACTTCCTTCAATATATACAACATACAATATACACAGGCTGCCCTCCCTCCTCCTCCAAGCCTTCAGTGCACCCTGAACCCTGGCCTGAAAATTTTGCTCATGTGAGAATATAGGCAGAGTGAAATAACCTAATAATCTTCATTTTCTGTCAAGTAGCAGAAGACAGTATTAACACATAGTTATTACATCAATTGTTGGAATGTTGAGAGTTAAATCAATTCAATTTACTAACATTTAAAAAATGAAGCTTTAATAATAAATTTGTTTAGATGTAAAATTTCTTTCTTATCTAATTTGCAGCTGAATTTTCCCAGAGATATCAAATTACTTTTGAGCTTAAGTATGCCGTCACTGTATTGTCAAACTACATTTAGCAAATGTTGTTTTAGGAATACATGTAATGAAAGGTGTTCTCTTTTTATATAGACAAGAAGGACTTCCATTAAACTGCTGCAATGAAACTCTAGACCCTAAATCTTTATAATCTGAAAAACAATCCTAAATATATCTTACAAGGTGATCCTTTTTAATTCATTACAAAAATCCAAAATCCAGGCCGGATGAAGTTTTATGTATTTCATATGGAGATAAATACAAAGGTGGCACAAAACAAAAGGGAGCAATGATTAAGCTAGAATATCTCTTTAAATTTTTACTTGTCAAGCACAAATAGTTTTATGATGATCTTTTTTCAGAAAATAATGTGTACCTGCTCATGTAACTACTGAGAATACTGTATCAGACTAGGTCACATCTTATATGCTAATTAACTTTTTAATACAATGAAATCCTTTGTTCTATTTGATTTCAGAACCTTATTCTTAGTACATAGCTATAAATTGTTTCCAAATTATATCTGGAATCAAACCAAAATGACATTCTGCAGGTATCACTAAACTCTATTAGCTTATTTTTCAAGGATATACATTCTTTTCCAGTTCAGTGTTTGATTTATCTTAACCACTGTCTTAGTCATCCTATTTGCTTCCTTTGAATAATTAATAGAACATTAGTCTTTTTATTACCCTGGGGAATTTCATCAGTGCTCAACATTGTTTAAAAGGCAAGCAAAGGCAGTTTTATAACTTGCTTCCATCTAAAACTCTTTATTTGAAGGTCTTTTGGATTCAGTGGGAACTATAATTTATCAATTGAGTATAATTGGGATTGTTCACTGCATTGGTCAATACTTTTTCATACTTTTGTTTCAAAGGACATGCCAAAGAGAAACAGCAATTAATAACAAATATCTTTTGACTTTTCACATATATTAACTAGAGCGGCAGGTAGACCAACTTCCTTAATGCCAGAATTAAAGTGCTCTGTTAAATTATGTATGAATAAAAGAATATATATTTGGATAATATGTAACTTTTTACTTCCACAATAGGCTACTATTATGCTGTATCTACAACGTTTACTCTATTGCAAGTGTTACTGTGAACCATTTCAGTTTTAGACAACAAAATAAGCAAATGCATCTTTAAAAATCAGGACCACAGTAGGCGAGAATCATTCCTTTCTTTCCTGCTATTTCAATTCATTGTCCCTGCTCTTAGTAAAAAAAAAGGCCTTGGTTGATATCAATTGATATTTTTCTCCATAGTTATATATATTGTCACTACGACTCTAGCAGCAGAGTTAAGTGTTCCTCCTTCTTTTCTTGCATGCTGCAGTTCTAACAATCCCTGCAGTGTCTAATGTGTTTGCAAGACTGACAACAGTTTCTAAGAAAACACAGATTTCCATATTGTCACTGTTTCCTCTTCCTAGTATCACAAAAACAGTTTGAAGTGCTTATGGCTTGGGTCCTAGTAACATTACAGATCATCCATCCCAGACAGTATCTGCCAGTCATACCCTAAAGAAGTAAGAGACTGGAAATGTCCCTTTTTGTTGCTTTTCCGGCCTTTTGGAATAATCTGCTGCCCATATAAATATAGCCCCTTTCCCTATCGACATTTAGGAGGGAACTTATGACTACATTCAGCTGAACCTTTCCGTCAAAATGTATTTGGGGTACTGCTCTAACTTTTTACCAAGGATATTTATTTAATTCCTCTATTGCTATTGTAAGTGGGGTAGCACAAAAATAGTGCTAAATAAATAAATGGTTCTTATAAACTTCAACACCATCCAGTCAGCTTTTGCCTTAGAAATTCTGATAAGATTGCTGATGTCTTGGAACCAAAAGGTAGGATGATACAAAAGTTTCTGCAGATGATAAAAAAAGGATCACCACAGAGTTGCACTGATTCAAATAAAACATTTTTACTGCAGTTTCGAGTACATTTCAACCTATCCAATGATAAACTAGCTCACCTTTCAAACCCAGCTAGAAAACATGCTTCTGAACAGAGTCCTTGGATGAAAACAGCCTTAGTATTGTTGGAATTCTACTCTTAATCTTTATATAGTTCACCAATCTTTGTTTAGTGCAACAATACATTTACTTGTTTAAAAGAAAAGACTGTGAAGTGATACTTTAAAAATTTATTTGAAGTTTTCTTAATAGCTAAAGGAACCTTAAATATACAAACACTTTATTGAATTGATATATACAAAATCTGGAACATTCATATTATTTTAAACATCATCTAATATTTAAACCAAAATTAAACAAATGCACATAATCATTATTGGAACATTCAAGCATTTTTTCTGAATTTCCAGATTATCTCTCAGATATAAGCATAAATGTTGGGAGTAGGAAGCTTTCTGGCTTTCATACACATTTGTACAATCAAAAATTTCTTCTACAAGCATTTTATAGCTAATTAATATATTTCAAAAAACACGTATGGCATGGTCCAATACTGCCTTGCTTTTAGCCTATGCCAAAAAACTCATTCAGCTATTGCAATGACCCATATTAAAAGATTCATCAATTTTGGATACAGATAGTCCTTGTTTAGCAACTGCTTCAGATAGTGACTGTTCACAAATAACAACAGTAATAAATAGTAAAAACAACTGAATTCTATGTGGGAATAGGCATCTTGCCCAGTTTATCTCTTCCAAAATAAACCAGTACCCCAAGGCTCTGAAGGATTAAAAGCTGATTTTTCAAAAGGCAATCTAAATACGTATCAGTAAGAATTTAACAAAGCATAACAAAGTTTTTTAAATAAATACCCCAAATTGTTACATATTTTAAAATCTGAATGCCTACAGCCTAACATTCAAAGGTACAGTTAAAAAGTTGCTTGCTTCTGATGTTTTATATGCTTGCATCAAGATGGCAAAATACCTGCCTAAAGATTAAGTGCTTTTCTCATAAAGTACATCAAATAAATCAAAGCTCATCAGCAAATGTTCATTATAAATCAAAGGATATTTGTTATAATAATCTGGTTTGATTTCTGATATGCTTCTGCTTTTAGCTGTTATGGATTATTTTTTTCAGAATAAGTGTTACTGATTATGTGTGACACTAAAAAGTGTTTGTGACCCCAGGACAATACTGGGCACCTTAAACTATCAAACTCAACCACTAGCCTCCCTTACTGAAAGATGTCAACATTTAAAATATATATATTTTACTTGTAGCCCTTTTTCAAAGGAACCAATCGGGTCCAATTTCCTACATTCATTTTCCCCAGTCAGTAAATCCCTAATATTATAGCATGTGAAGTGAATCCATATAGTGAAGAATTGCACCCAAAGCCCAGCTGGTTTCAATGTTGTTAATCTTCTGGGCCAGCTATAAGGAAAAGAAAACATGATTAAAAGTCTTGGAAACAGAGATATTTTTGTGGGCTGTTTAAAACAATGTAATCTACACATTTCAAGAAACTATATAATAACCTTCCACATAGTACATATATACCCAATTTGTATGCTCCTTTAGTTTTACTCAGTAGCATTTGGAATCCCAGGGCTCCCAGATTTTATAATGTAGGGGAAAAAAGAGGAAAGAGTATTTCTTGGCTGTAGTATTTGTATTATTTGAATAGCAATAGCACTTAAGACATATACTGTTCCATAGTGCTCTACAGCACTCTCTGAGCAGTTTACCATGTCAGCATATTGCCCCCAACATTTTAGGTCCTCATTTTACCAACCTCAGAAAGATGAAAGGCAGAGTCAACCTCGAGCCAGTCAAGATCAAACTCCTGACTGTGGGCAGAATTAGCCTGCAATACAGCATTTTAACCACTGCACCACCACAGCTCCTACAACCCTAAAATCTAAAATTATGCAGGTAACGCCTGATGAAGGTTTATCAAATGGGAGCAGTCAAAATAAATTTTGTACGATTTAAAATCAGAAATTTTATTTTGCACATTTAAGACTATTGTACATGATTCGTGGTAGGATGCAATGTCTGGGGCACAGTTACTCTCTTCCTGGATATTCCTTTTCCTCTGCTCTTTGTACTTTCAGTATTGATATTATAATTCTACACCAAATTTTGACATTAAAAATTACCTTAAGAATGCGATTCTTTGGAAAGCCCAGTTCTTTCAGCAACAAACTGATGTAGGTAAGATCCATGCATAAGAAAGGATGCTTTTCTTGTTGAATCTCCATTGTTTTACACACTGGGAAATTGAAAAAATCAAATAAATGTAAAAGCAGATCATTGCTAGAACTATTCCCACAAAACACTTTGCTTTGGATACTAAAGAGCCTTTGTTGGACTGTATTTTATAAAACTTTCTTAGATCTTGAGGTAAGCATACAAAGATACTAATGGCTTACCTTTCTTTGCTGCACTTTCGAACTTCCTGACTGGTAGGATCCCTCCTTTTTTCTTATCTAAAGAAAGAGGAAAAAAACAGTTCTGCAGTTCTAGAACAGAAAAAGAGTGCAGTATTGGCAAAACAGCTGCCATTCTAAATGATTAATAAATGGTTAAGTAGACAGTATTGTGTGCATTTCAAGCACAACATTTTAGGTTTAGTGCTCATTAAAATAAGAAGTGCCTTATTTTCAGTCTTTAACAGGGAAAAATATCCTGCAATATTCATAGAATTACAGAAATGAATAGACATTCATTTGGAATCTTTTTGTATTTAAGATTTCTATGTTCCGAGAGAGGTTTTTACAAATTATTGCACTAAACTAATAAACAATGCAAATACCACATTAACGAATTAACATAATCTTGGGCAGTTTCTGGTGAGCCATTATGGCAAACTGACATTCCTGTAGAATAGAAGAACACATTGCGGCTGAAATTAAACCTGAGCGCAGGATTTGCTGCTGAAATCTGAGATCCCAAGATTACCCATGTGAATTCTGTACAGCATTTTTTTTTTTTTTTTTGGCAAGCAGATGGCAGGAACTGCATTTTTGTGTTTGGGTTATGATCAACTGGGAGTCATAGGATTCCATCATGCTTGTAGTTGCTAATGTTGCCTATATGGACTTTAAGTTTGACTGAGGCTCACCTCTTAAATCAGTGTTTCTCAATCTTGACAATTTTAAGGCATGTGGACTTCAACTCCCTGAATTCCACAGCCAGCAATGCTGGCTGTGGAATTCTGGGAGTTGAAGTCCACATGCCTTAAAATTGTCAAGGTTGAGAAACACTGTCTTAAATCATTCTGGATTTAATTTTTTTTACTGTTTTTTTTAAAGATTGAGAACCTATAGATTGGCAAATTTTATTGATGCATGTCTCCTTCAATTCTTTTTTTTTTTTTAATTTAACTATGAGTTAAAGATTTGTACTTTGTGGAATATATAGCAAAAAGATGATTGCTGTTGGCTCTAGAAAGTTTTAAATGTATTAAAGGCTTAGATGACCTTTAGATTTTATTTAATTAATTTATATGCTGCCCATCTTGCTTCCAAAGCGACTCTTAGCAGCTAACAGTTTAATAAAAATAGAAATGAAAACAATTATAAATATAAAAACAATTAACAATTAACATTACAGATGATTAAAAATCACAGGCTCAAGTGGAACAGGGCAGGCAACTTCCCTGTCACTGCACCAATTTTAAAGATAATTGAAAGGATTCTTTCTAATGAGAATTTTTTTTTTGGTTACACTATGAAATTTGTAAGATGACATTGAAAGCTTACAGAAAGAGGGCACTGGATGGCTATCTTAAAAGAAATGTTTCATCTATGGGTGTAAGAGGTTTTTGAACTATTAATTCTACAGAAGAATCAGGTGCTAAGGACATGACTTGGTTAAAAAAAATAGGGATTTTTAACCTCATTTGTTGTAGATTTGTGGTCCATTCCTCTAGTGCAGGGGTTCTCAACCGTGGCAGCTTTAAGACTTGTGGACTTCAATTCCCAGAATTCCTCAGCCAGCAAAGCTGGCTGAGGAATTCTGGCAGTTGAAGTCCACAAGTCTTAAAGTTGCCAAGGTTGAGAACCCCTGCTCTAGTGCAAGGGTAGGCAATCTTGGCTTTTATGACTTGTGGACTTCAATACGTAGAATTCCTGAGCCAGCCATGCTGACTCAGGAATTCTGGGAGTTGAAGTCCACAAGTCATAAAAGAGCCAAGGTTGCCTACCCCTGCACTAGTGCATGGGAGGAAGGAAAATCCCCTGGCATGCTGGCAGAATGGACTGTAAATCCAACATCCCCTCTGCTTGCAACTTTCTGTGCTGGCTTCTCATTGACTTTCTGTGGAAGCCAGCAGAGAAGATTGCAAATGGCGATCATATGATTGCTAGGATCATGTGGTGGTGGGGGGAGCATGATGTTTTATGAGATTAGGATCATTATAGGCTGTTGTGACTGCAAACAGTTGTTAAATGACTGTCAAGGACTGCCTATAAGCCATACATGGATTCCACACCAAAGACCATGCAAAATAATGTGAAAAACATGTAATTGTTTTCTTTCTTTCTTATGCATTTTTTTGGAGACATCTAATTGATTAATATTTTTAATTTTGTTTCTTTCTAGAATATTAGCTATTCCATATAGTTTTGGATAGTCTACAATGAACATAAACATTCCCTACATCTACATCTCAGCTTATATTTAACCAGCTTGCTACTCAATGTCAAAGGATAGCTGGTCAAACTCTTTGCTGGTCGACATATATTAGGTTCATAGAATTCTTAACCTTGGCTTGAGAAAGATACACTTATTTGTCATCACTCTTGCATAATACCCTCCCAGATGGATGGACTGGAAGACTGCCTAAAGTTAAGAAAGCATTCACATTACTGACATTTTCAGCCATTTAGCAAATGGCTAAAAAAAGTTTTGAAAAAGTAAAATTGTAAAATATGTCTTCTGTGTGTTGCAATAGCAGTTGATACATAATGTATACTATACCTCTGTGTTGGAAGCACCGAAGTACTTTCGTGGTGAAAGGATTAGCCGGTGACATCACTGTTGCCTAGGGGACACCCAGTTGTGGGCTTTTTTCATGCCCACAATAATGAGCCCACCGAAGTGTTACCTGTTTATCTACTCATGCTAGCATGGTTTCAAACTGCTAAGTTGGCAGGAGCGAATGACGGAAACTCACCCCAGCACACAGCAGCACTTGGGGTTTGAATACAGATTTGCAAATTGTCATCCTAACCACATGAGCTACTGCATTCCATATAATTTATAGGATAGGGTGACTTTTCAACTATGATACGTATTAATCTGGCATTTGGGCAAACTAATGTGGGGATCTGTCCTTGCAAATTTTTCCCTCAAGAATCAATTTTTCACGTATTCTTGGGGACTGAGTGCTAGAATAAACTGATAGCAGTGTGAGTAAACTGAGTGCCAATCTCATCTGCACTGTAAAACTGGAACATCAGGGTTTCCTCTACGACTTTATTAGTTCCATAATAATCCTCTAGGAGTTTATTCAATTTTATTTATTTATTGATGCACTCAAGGCCTTACCAAAGGTTTATATGTAGGCTATGCCATGACATATGTGAAAGCACTACTGCCATCTATCACTGGCTTGGAAAGCTATATTTATTTGCTTGTAGTGCTGTAGGCTGATGTTCTCAGTGCCACTCGGCACCAATTTATATATTTTTAACATGGCAATTGTGGGTGATTTCACAGCACCAATGATGTACTTATAAGAAATGGATCTTCAGCTTATCTTTGGCTTTGTGAATATCAAATATACACAAAGTTTTTAGAATCCCGGAATCTAGTTTTGCAATCAGATCCAACTTTTCTCTGAAACTCAAATTCTCTTTCTCCCTTTACACCTTCCTTGTAAGCTACTGTGGGCAAAACTCAGCCTTTCAATGCTATAGGCTTCAACCTGTACCATAATGTCTGTGCAGTCTTTTGGGTTCAGAAAGGTTCAGGAGTTCATGATTCCATAGCTGCCATGGGCTTGTCCCAAGTAATACTTGGCTTTATGTATTCATTGGCCATCCTTTTTTTACTTTGGATCAATCATGGAATGATATGGATATAGAAAAAACTATCTGGTGTTCTCCCATGGTGAAATCATTTCCTAATCCAGATAAAACAAACTACAGCAAACAGACTTATTACATTTTTTTTCTACTGAAGATGTATTACAAAAGACTGTCCCAGATACATGTGGAGGAATTTTGGTGGATGTTTGGGAATTTCCTAATTATCTGGTAGACAGTAACATTTATTGCCTGATCAGTTTGACATGCTGCCTACTGTTGTTTTAGAATATTACTTGATGCTCATCAATATTTTATAAGTAAATAAAAATTTGGGGTTAGTTAAAATTACTGATGTTTAAGCTTTTTCCAGGATGTATGAGAAGAATCTCTGATGGCAGAGAAAGGAAACAAGATAGATTCTACTTTCTCACTTGCTTTGACTAATTAGTATTAATGCCCTGTGGAACTCTTGTTATTACATTTGTGTGAACTAAAGCCAGCTTTGTAATATGACATTCACACTGTTTTTATTGCCTTATTGCTAAATTACCTATTAGACCAGCATCTACTGCCAATTCATAATAGTAGGAAAAAGCATAGAAATCCAAATCCTTTATTCTGACTATTTCGTGAATTTTCTTGTTCAGCACTTTTGATATTTCATTATGACATGATTCAAAAAGCGGCCTTCCTAAAAGAAAAAAGGAAAAAAGACTGTAATGAAATTCATATTTGTGAGATTTTTTATTTTTCAGTATCTTTAACAAATAATTATCAATTAGCATCAAGTAAGAAATAAGCAAAGATACAGGGCATTACATAGGCAATTACAACATTGTATAAGGAGGAGGAAGGAATGGAGAAATAGTATGTAATTGTTTAAGCATCTACTGATGGAAGCAGTTAGCAGCTGAAGCACCTTTCCAAGAAAGGTTCTGTGAATTAATGGAGGCTTGTGCTTTTAATATAGACTTTCAATATTCTATGGCACATTTTATATTTTACAGTTTTTGAAATCTGTTGACTTTTTTGGCTGTTTCTGGTTCAAACTTGTCCTTTGTTAGATCAGTGCATTGACTTTATTCTGAGCTGCTTGAAAGATATATTTTAACTATAATCATGAGCTGCCTAAAAGGAATAAAATGTTTCCATTATACTTACTTCTGCACTCTTTCCTAAAAATGAAGTATTTCAGAAAAATGCCTGATTACTGGGACCATGTTTGGAAAGGAGGGAAAGACAGAAAAAAACCTCTAATTGTTCTTACTTTCAAAGATTTTTAGATCAGCACAATAAAACTCTCCCTTCTGTATCTCTGAATTCCATCACAAATCACTTGTGGATCAAACAATATTAAAAAGCTGATGTGCCACCTTAAATAGGTTTATGAATCAGCCTTCTGCTGTGATTGTTTTCAAACAACCATCCTTATTCATGAGTGTGACTGCAGAAATTTGGTAAAACTGTTGCATATGGGCATAATATTATATACGCACTCCTCTGTTTATAGCAGTGGTTCTCAACCTATGGGTCGGGACCCCATTTGGGGTCGAATGACCATTTCACGGGGGTCACCAAACCATGCTGTCCGCCATTTTTTCCCTTTTCCCTAGCTGTCCTACTCCCTCTTATTGGTGGCCACACCCACTTGGGGGTCACCACAACATGGGGAACTGTATTATGGGGTCACGGCATTAGAAAGGTTGAGAATCACTGGTTTATAGGAAGAATGTGTACAAATGTACAATTTCCATTCAAAAGACCCATTTGTACAAATCAAAAATAAAGAAGTATATAACATATAGCACATATATTGTACATAGCATGTTTATAAGTTTGTTTTATATGTGTACACTTTTGAAAGCAAGCAACAGAATTTCATTTTTAATGTTTGCCAGTATGCCCACAGTAAAAAATGACAATAAAGATTATCTTATCATCTTATCTTGTACCTGTTTTCTGCCCTTTAATTTTGTACATTATCTTTGCATGTTCCCATTCACCTTGATAATTAAGTGATAAGCAGGGACTTGTTAGTTCTTCACCTTCTTTCACTGTTAGGAAAAAATATAGAGAGGAGTTTGCTTGAGATACAGCAATTATTTTGAGTAGGCAAATTGTTTTCCCACCCCCATTATTCCCAAGCGAATGTTTTCTATTTGATAATTGAATGTATAGTACAATTATCAATCAGACATAAATTCAGGGTAGTAAGCAAAGCTAAAGTATCTAATTCTCCAAAGACGGAATAAAAGGTAAACTCTCCTTTGAATCAAGTTCAATTCTGAGTGATTTCATAGACATACATGTAGTTCTCTTGACAACAATACAGAGGAGATTGCTATTGCCTTCTTCCACAGTGGATTTAATTTTCCAGTCTAGATTGCAGCACGTTTCCTATTGTTGACGTTACCAACAGACTTCCAGATACAATGTAAAGCCTCAGGATGCTGATAGTTAAGACCAGGTCTGTTTGCAATAACATCATCTTCATCCGTGACTTGGTATTGAATCAGGCAGCACACCTATCATCTATTACTGAAACGTGGATGCATGAAGTGACAATGTAGCCTTGTCAGAGACTTACCCTACCAGATTTCAGTCCTTCAACTACTTTGATATTAGGATGGGAGAGGAGGGATGGTTCTGATAATTAGAAATACCTTACTGGTGGTCAGGGGTGCTGCTCCTAAGATATAGCTGTGTGAATGGCATTCGCTAGGCTAGGTTGTAGAAACAGGTTTGGGAAGATTGGAAAAGAACATAATGAAGCTGAAGTCAAGTAAGATGAGTTATTGTTTGTGTATCACATTTTCTTTCAACACCAGCATTACCATTGGATGGGCAGGAGCTATTCATGAAAGAGCAGGTTTGCAATCTGGGGACCTTTTTACACTCAGGGCTCCTGCTATAACAGCAGCTAAAATGTATGCTAAAGAGCTTTGCCCAGCTGCAACAACTGCAGCGATGGCAATCCTATTTGATGCAGAAGGACCTGATTATAAGTTCTCATCGCCATCTGGATTGGTTATTATGTTTTACACAGGCTTGCTCTTAAACACTATTCAGAAATTTCAACTAGTACAGAACATGACAGCCTGATATTTCCTGGTTTCTGGCAATGAGAACACATGACAACAATTTTGTGTGCTCTGCAATGGTTACCATTAAATTTATGGATACAATATTAAGTGCTAATCTTTCTCCTTAAAGCTCTTCAAGGCTTGGCATTTAAGACTGCCTGCATCAGAATTAGCCCCACCTGATCTTGTAGGGAACAGCTTCTAGTTTTCCTGCACTTCTAGGAGGTGAAGGGAACCCAGGTTAAATGGTGCTGCTTTTGTACAATAGCAGTACTGTCTCAGAATTGTCTTGGCAATCAAATATATATATCCTGATCTCCCAATAGTAACCAGATCTCACTTTCCTTAGATTTTTCAAGATTAGCCAAGGTTGATGTTCATAGTCTGTTTCCTGACCAGGCATAGCATTATTTTGAGTTTTATCTGTTTTAATTATCTTTAATTATGTTTTACCTGTGCATTCCTTCTAATACCTTGAAAGAAAAGAGAAAGAAACTATAGATTTTAATTGAGTAGTATATGTTACTATCTATTTGGAAAAGTGAACATTTTTTTTAAAAAAAGCAATTTAGGATTCTTGTAGATCATTCAAATAATATATAATACTTACAGGCTTGGCCTTCAACTCCTCCTAAAATTGCCAGTCGTGCCGACATTAATCCAAATCCCAAGTAACTAGACAGATTGAGAGAAGTAATTCTGATAAAGACTAGATTCTTTTTTTTTTTTTTGCTGAATAGCACTTATGAAGTACAGCATATCTATCAGTGGCTGACTATAAACAATAGATACAGAATGCATTGGATTTTGCAGCCATTGAATTGTGAAAGAGTAAAAAAAAATGAAGTCATCTTATTGCAGACTATAAGAATATACATACTGTATGTATAAGGAGATTTTGAATATGGCAGATCTGCTATCAATTTGCACCTTTCAGTTGTTCTAATACTTGTAATAATAATTTTGTTCTAAATATGGTTATTTTCTTTATTATAAAATGGCCAATACTTTTATAACTAGCAACTGTATGGTCACGTGCTAAATTTGAATTGCCCATAATCTGCTGCTATTCCCCAAAACATTGTCTTTGAAGGAAGGAAAAGATATTTTTTAAAAGTACGGGAAGGATATTACAAATATTTAACACATCAATGTGATCAGTACCTTTCTCCAAATTTATATTTTGGCTTTTTAATTCCTGGGACTCCTGACTTATAGGTAACAGTCTGAAAAATCTGATCTATATGGTTGCCCACCCAATCTAAATTGCTCAGACTTTTAGGGGAACAGTGTCAGAAATGTGGGCTATAAAATGTCCTCTGGTTTTCTGTGTACAGGAGTCAAATAATCTCTTGACCTGTTGCTACTCTAGAATGTGTTTGGGGTAGATTCTTAGAGCCCTGCATATATTTAGTTTGTGCCAACTCCATTCTACACAAAAATCAGGTAGCACAATATCTTATTTCTCTATTAAATTTATAATTGACCCTGGATATAAATGGAGTTTGATCTTAACATTACCATATCTTAGATTCTGCATAATTGAGAGCACCTGTATTTCTCCACTAACCAAGTTTAGGACTATCAAAAGTCTGTTCTCCAGAAACATACAGAGGTGCCTAAATGTTTGCATGCAACAATGTATTAGATATTTTTTATAAATAATCAATTACTAGGAACATTTAACAATCTTTAAAAAATAATTTATTGCACTATATGAAAAAGCATTCTGACAACTAACCTGTGTGAATTCAGTTTATATGTAGTATTAAACAAATTAAATGAAATGATGTGTTCAGCAGTTGAGTTCTCTATAGATGTCTGTAAAGAAAGAGAAAATACTTGATATTCCATAAAAAGAAAACAGAGCAATGTCGTTGGAGAGCTACTAAAAAAGCTGTATTTAAATGTTCTTAAAATTATGTGTTAAATCTCTATGCATCATGGTCAGATAAGAACAAGTAGAAAGATCCAAGATTGGATAGCACAGTAAATAGACCAGAGAATGATCTTCCACTTTATATGCTACTATTTTCTGATTAAGCCAGTAAGCCTAGAATCTTACAGATACTTGCATCTATTAAAATTATGTGCCTTATGTCACTTAACTACAGTGGCATCCTACAAGACAATTAAAATACTGCTATGTTGCTTGTTAATTGTAACCTATATTCATATCAACACTGTCAGGGTTATGCAAAACACAGAAAAGGAATAAGAAATAGGAAGCCAAATAAATTAAAGGCATAAAATAAAAGGAAACTTGACTAAAATTATTTTTCACCACTCATTATACCTCCCATATCTTTCTATCTTTCAAATCATTCTTGCTTGCAATATGTCCATATATTGCTTGATATATTGCCATTTGTTCTTTAAACTTCTTCCCTTTCTTTCTGAAACCTCATCAGCCATCCAAGCAAGCACAGCTTTCTATTTTCCCCCTTCTTTGTGATTTGTTTATCCCACCTTGTGGTCCAACTTTCCAACTTTTATATTCAATGCACATCCGTGAGCCCCCATTCATTCCCCCCGCATATAACAAAATAGGCAGGTGCATGCTCTTATACAGAGCTATTTCTCATAACAGGCCTTTATCCATAGCCATTTATATAGTCAGTATTAGCCTTACCCCAAATCAAAATTGAAGCAAATCAACAGAAACAAAGAAGTGTAAAATATCTTGTGATCTCTTGAAAAAGTTGAAATAAAAGGGACCTGTATTCTTCTTACTTCAGTGCTCGGGCGAAATGTGATTTGAGTAGATCCACCACCTAAATCTAGCATTCCTACACATTTCTTCGTTGGATTATTCAAGCTATCTGAAATGCATCATTTGATAAAGCAAAGTTAATGGATTGTTTATTCAAGAAATGTAATTATTTGTACAAACAGTTCCAAGTAAAACACATGTACCTTGCCTATATTATCATGCATATATAAATCAGGCTTCTAATTTCAAATAATAAACAAGGAACATAAAATACATGGAAATGTTTTAATTTCTTGTTTTTGCTGAAATATATTTAAAGCAAGCATAGGTTTTAAATTCAAACTATAACTGGAGTTTTATCTGAAGCAAATGTGTTTTATGTCCTGGGAACTGCTACACTGAATGCAATAGTACTTATGTAAATGTTGTAGTTTGATATAGCAAATTACTTCAGCAAATAGCGAATTATATACTTCGAACATTTTGAGAGAACATAAATTGCATTATACTGGGATCCCAATGGGGATGGGCACTTTGGAGGTGGTTGATGGAGTACATAATACCCCACCTCCTCCCTGTGAGCACTTTGTTTCTTCCCTCTCCCTCTTGTTTTATTTTAATTGAATTTTAAATGTATGATTCCAATTACTGTTTCAATATTTTATAGTGCATTTTAACTGAATGTTTGTAAATCACTTAGAGTCACCACTGACAAGATGGGCGATTTATTAAACTGATAAGTTTAATAAATAATATAGAATATAAATGTAATAAACATACTTGCAAACATACCTGTTAAAAAGTTGACTGTGATCCATGCTGAAATACCTGATTTTAAAAAATGCAATTAAGTACAGATTAGGTTTCAATTTTCCAGATCCTGTGATTTATTTATCAGTAAGAGCAAATTTAATTGTTCTAAATCACTCAAAACAGGATGAGTGAAAAAGTGGCACAGGAGACACATGCTTGTTACAACAATTATGATATAGGTATCTGACTAACACTAACTGGAGCTTAGGTTTCAAACTGGTTTCTACTGTATCAGAAAAAATGAGCTGGATCTTTAGAGGAAAGATATATAGAAAATGTCAGTTCAGTGTGCTATTTATTTACAAGCCAAAAGATCTTAGTTAACCTGGAGCACTATACGATACATGAAGTCACTATGAACTTATTTAAAGTATCTGCTAGAATAAAGAATTATATAGTACAGGAAGGTTATTTTACAAACAAAAGCAAGAAGAATATGAAATGATTGAAAAACAAATCCAACTACCTTCATCTGATCCATCCATTATGGAGACACAATTATTTCCTATAAAGAATGGAGACTCTTGAAAAATGTCCTTTACCTAAATTAAAGGAAGATTGATACAAATATATTTAAAACTCAAAAAACACTGTCATTCAGAAAATATTTCTCTGCAGTTGTATATATGGTGTCATTCTTCTTATTGAACAATTTACTTTTATATTTAAACTACCTCCTCCATAATGAGTGTCCATCAAGAAGTAAAAATAGTGCTGTGTCAAATCAGAGATAAACAGATGATAATAGAAAATATGGCACAGAGATACTACTGATTTTACTCTTTATTGTTTATCAGGATTACAGACAGTCCTTGAATTACAAAAACAATGGAGACTGAAACTCTGATTGCTAAACAAGGCAGCCAATAAGCGAGTTATGCCCAATTTTATGACTGTTTTTGCCACTGTTATTAAGTGAATCACCACTGTTGTTAAATGAATCTTGCAGATGTTAAGTGAATCCAACTTCTCCCACTGACTTTGCTTTTTGGAAACTGGCTGGGAAGGTCACAAATGGAGATCACATGACCCTGGAATGCATTGTAAATACACGCTGTTGCCAAGAGCCCAAATTTGTATTATGTGACTGTGGGAATGTTGCATGGTCACAATTATAAGGACTGGTCATAAGTCATTTTTTTCAGCACAACTCTGAACAGTTACTAAACAAATGGTTGTAAGTCGAGGACTATCTGTACCAGTGTCTCCTAACAGCTGGTCATTCTCAGAAACTGAGGATATACCATCTGAGCGTGGTAGAAAATCATAAATCAAATACACAGTAATCTTGATACTCAGGAGCTATAATGGAGCATTCCCAAAATTAAAAGCATTTACGGAGAATGAACCCCATCTAGGTCAAATTATTTACGCATTCCAGGTGCAGAGCTCTTCCAGATTTGTTATCTGTATTAAGCTTTTTGATAAACCTGTTCAAATCATCCATTGCTGCATTGGAAGATTTAAAAGAAATCACACCCATCTTCATAACTGTGGATGACAAACTGTAATGCAGCCTCCTATTAATATTCTAACATTCATCAATAAGCCTGAGGTCTAACCATTATCTATTAGACTAGAATACATACTGCAAAAGATTTAACACAGATTCCTGCCCTGATACCAAACTAATTTAGGCTAATCAAGATAATAAGAGTAAAGAACAAAGTACCTTATCCAATAATTTCTGTGCCTTTTTTTCTGGCAGCAATCTTAAGCCAGCGGTTGCTTTAAGAACTAAGGGAGTTGACTTCCACAAATGCATAGGGACAGTTTCTTTAGCAACTGCCAATAGCTCATTTATTCCTTCAGCACTCTGACAAAATAAAAATGTGTTGCCTTTTTATTTAAGCAGGGTTTGGAGGGTTTTTTGTGTTTGTATGCATGTGTGCGCACACAAGCATACAGTATGTTCTCTTATTTGGACTTCTAGCCTGGTGCCTTAAACCACTAAAACAGTTATTCAAGCAGTTAAAAAACAAATAACTATAAACGTGGATGATACAGGCTATTTCTTTATTTTTAAGATTTTGAGATTGCCTGACTTCTTGATGGCACTGAGAGGCTTACAAGTTAAAAAAATATATTCAAAGTACACAGCATTTTGCTTTCTGCTGTCCTGCCTGTTCTATAGAATAGCTTTCTGTCAAACTCGCGACATCATGTGATGTGTCGTGACATAGTGTGACTTTTTTCCCATTGCCGGCAATGGGGTGGGCGTGGTTTTAGCATGATGCATCCAGCCCCTGGGCCAGCAGTTTCACACCCCTGCTCTAGGAGGTGAGAAAGCATATGAGATCAAACACTTAGGACTACATCAGGCTTTCCCAAGGGAAGGCAGGCAGGCAGTCTGGCAACTGAACAATAAAGAAACCTCTTGACTGAAACTTCGGAGCTGTTCTGGTTGCTTCTGCCTAACATCCATGGTCCTAACTTTGGCACAAGCTATGCCTACCTGTTGAAAAATTATTCTGTAGATAAGATACCTATTAAAAATGGAGACAGAACATAAAAAATGTTTAAAACCTTACCTAACAAATAGCATAGATGTATATTTCTTCAACAACTATACACCTGTAAACCTGGCAATACTATGATATGCATGTTTCTTCAGAAGAAATTTCTATTATTATATTTTTTATAATTGATAATGTTAATATTTATAATTTATATTTTTATAATTTAACAATAATTAAAAATTATTTCCAAGTAAGCATGGCCTAAATTGACTTATTTAAGTTCAAATTACCTTATCCACATTGTCAGCATATGCAGAGAGTCCTGGTTTTAATGCTTTGAATGTGGTATCAATTAATCTAGGAAGTTCTGCTTTAAAAAAAAGAAAAATTAACTCAATGTAGTAAAGGATTCTATGCGTAATTTGCAGTCTGCAAATCAAAGACACAGAAAATTAAGTTAATTAATTAATCAAGAAATTAATGTGAAATCTTTCTTCTAATTTTTAACTGTAGAAAATAGTATACCCAGCGGAATTATCCCTTGTTTCCAACTGTCTTATGGGAAAAGCTCTTCATTGTATGATGACACTATTTATGTGATTCTGAAAAAACATATATATGTTTCTTAGACCATGTTTTTTGCAACTGTTGCTTCATATTTAAACTAGATCTCAAAAAACCCACCACTTCTATAAATATATAAATGTGCCACAGCTTTTATAAAAATATTAAAATATTTGAGCCACCAGGAGGCAGCAAATTCTGATATGAGTAAATGATGATAAAAGAAAACAGGCTAAGGACAACACAGGTTGTCCTCATTTAGTAAACACAATTGGAACAAAAACTTCATTGTTAAATGCAGTCACTAAGCAAAAATCACATGATTATGACAGGCTTATAATCTCACTTCCCCTTTGGTCATTAAGCAAATCACTAGTTATTAAGCAAAATATCACACGATCGTGACTTATGATTTTTAATGAAGAGAAGGATGAGGGGGGACATGATAGCAATATCTCAGGGGCTGCCACTAAGAAGAGGGAGTCAAGCTATTTTCCAAAACGCCTGAAGGCAGGACAAGGAGCAACGGGTGGAAACTGATCAAGGAGAGAAGCAACCTAGAACTAAGGAGAAACTTCCTGACAGTGAGAACAATTAACCAATGGAACAACCTGCCTCCAGCAGCGGTGAATGCTCCAACACTGGAAGTTTTTAAGAAGAGACTGGACAGCCATTTGTCCGAAATGGTATAGGGTTTCCTGCCTGAGCAGGGGGTTGGACTAGATTACCTCCAAGGTCCCTTCCAACTTTGTTTTGTTTTTTGGAGTGCAAGTATTTTTCTGATTATGTTAGAAGGAAGCAACCCAAAATAATTACTTTTAACTTCAAACACAACCTTAAAAATGGAACTTGTTTTTTGGGAAGACTTACCCAAATAATTTTTATTTAAAAAGTTATAACATGGGTTAAATGGGTTATTTGTATGAAAGAATTGATGTAACCGATTCTTGGTCTAATGCAGGAGTGTCAAACTCAATTTCATTGAGGGCCATATCAGCACTGTGGTTGCCCTTGGGGGCCGGGTAGGTGTGGCCAGTGTGGGTGCAGCCTATTGAGTGGGTGTGACCTACTGGGTGACGAGCTCTACATCGTTTGCGTCAAGGGTGCCTGTGGGGGCCTGGGCAGGAGTGGGACAGATCTGAGGGTCTCTGGTAGAAGGGGATGGGACCAGAGCAAGTGCTAAGGCATGGTCCACTGGAGGAGCCTCACTGTTCCTCTCAGGCCATGCCGGGGGGGGGGGGCTGGATGGTGGTGCGGGCTGCCCGGAGCCCTGGGCAGCAGAGGTCAAACGCAGAGCCTGGCCCTCAAGCACTTGTGGCACCAAGCCCAGCCCCACTTCCCCAAGGGGGCGCCCAGCTGCACTTATCTCCTCCTCAAGGCTGCTGCTGCTGTGCTTGCTCTCCTTAGCCAGGTTGCTCATGATGGGTACGAGGGCAAAGTCAGAGGGAGGCCCATTCCCTCTCTATGGGAGTAGACCCGGCTTAGCAATAGGATGGATGACCCCCAGGAGGAGGGGGCAAGGGGATGGTGAAAGGGCAGCAGGACAGGATTAAGGCAGGAGTTCCCTCAAACCCTCCCTCTCCTTCTTTCCTTCCTAAATACAGAGTAGTGGAAAATATTTGAGATGAGAGAGGGAGAAAAACAGGCAAGAAATGAAACTGGGGAGGTGTCATCTTTCGTGAGGAATGAAGAAATGCACCATCGCCTGGAAGTAGCCAGCACATGGCTCTCATCTACTTCACATATCTGGCTTAGTGGGCTCTGGGAGAGGGGATGCCATGAGCAGCGTGAGAGTCAATATTACCTGCGCAATGCCACCCAGCCCCCAGCCTGCCTAGTTTTCCCATTTTCCTCACAGTGCCAAGAGGCTGAACCGGGCGGTGCAAATCCAAAAACAAGCACGATGCCGCCCAGCCCCCAGCCTGCCCAGTTTCGGCAGGCAGCGGGGCGCTCTCCTCACAGCGCCGAGAGGTTGAGCCAGGCGATGAAAAGCCCGTCAGCTTTGCACCTTGCTGCCTGCTGAAACTGGGCAGACTGGGGGCTAGGCAGCATTGCATTTCTCATCAGATTTGCACCATTTGGCTCAGCTCTTGGCACTGTGAGGAGAACGCCCCGCTACCTGCCGAAACCCTCCCCCGGAGCCCATCAAGCCGGATAGGTGAAGTAGGCAAGGGCCATTTGCTGGCCACTTCCAGGTGGTGGTGCATTTCTTCATTCCTCACAAAGGGTAACACCTCCCCAGCATGCACCCAGGAGGTGGGGCCGATGTGGCAGGGGCTGGTTCCTCATTGTTTCCAGACGGCCTTGTGGGGCTAAGACTGAATGCGTTTCAGCATAGATGGCCACCACAAAATTGTACATTGGCTCTTGGCCGGCCTGGGCCAGGGTCAAGGCAGAGGGGGCCGTTCCCTCACTGCCACATGAAACCACTTTGCAGGCCACATCCGGCCCCCGGGCCTTATGTTTGATATGTCTGGTCTAATGTGATCAAAATTAAAGTTTCACTCAGTGCTAATGCAGAAAACTGAAACAAACATGAAACAGGATAGTGAGAAAACCAACATCTGGTTAAGGACTAAAGACATTACTGTGACATTACTGCTTGCTTGTGCAGAGATATTAACTTTAAGTAAGTATTGTTATGAGCATACTTCAGGTCACTGAACATGGAGGAATTTGTTAATACCAATCATTCCAACTTCTCACAGTATGTGGATTTCAAATGGAAACAGTCAGAAAGAAATTAAACATATATTGGTAATAATATTCTAATTATTTTAAACAAATTCACACAACTTTTACTATCATAATTCTTCACAGAAAGCAAAATTAGCTTGAGCATCTAGGACACTACAGGTGGTCCTTGGGTTATGATAGCAGTTGGGACTGGGTTTGCCATCACAAAGAGATGCAGTCACACAGTATGACACATAATTGCACTGGAACATGGGGGTGCTGCAGAGGGGTGGGGGGAAGACCTAGGTGGCCCAGTTCAGGCTGCATGTGAGTTGGGTGAGGGGGGGATGCTACTGTGTGGCAGTCAAGGGAAAGACAGCATGGCAGAGTGTGCAGGAAGGCTGGAGGGAACTGACCAGCGTGATTTATGACCTTCCCTGTTGTCTTCCCCATTGACTTTGCTTGTGGAAGCTAATAGGGAAAGTTGCAAATGGCAATCACATGACCACGTATTCATCTTGAGTGCAAGCTGGTTGCCAATCTCCCAAATCATGATCATATGACCATGGGGATGTTGTGATGGCCAGAATTTTGAAGGCAGGTTGTAAGTACCACTTATTCAGCACTGCTGCAATTTTGAACAGTTACTGAACAAGTGGTTGGTAAGTGAGCGGTACCTATATTAGCAAAATTATGAACTGAAGAGCTTACCTTTTGGTTTCTGTGCAAATTGGAATACATGTATACGGGTGCCAGTGCTTCCAGCATCAAACATAATTCCATAAAGAACTGCCTCATCTTTTCTTGAGATCTCAGCACTAAGTTGCTTTTCCAAACCTTTGTCAACACCTTTTCTTCTGTAGTAAAAATTCCACTTGGTATACACAGCATATATAGCAGCACATGTGAAAATTGCAAACACCCAGAATAGTTTTGGGATCTTCATGGTCTCCATTGGACTTTTTCTTTCACTTTTTTGAGGAGTTGCCTATGATTTCCTGTAATCTAAAAAAAAAATATCAAATTTTCTCATGAAAGGAAGTATGAAATTTATTTGAGAAAAATGGAGCCATCACGCAAAACTCAGGCACCAAACAGGTTATGTAGAAAGTAAACACAGGGTCAATCATAAAGGACTCAAATGTCTATATACCAATGCACAGAGTATGAACAGCAAACAGGGTGAACTAGAAATTCAGGTTAATGAGGGCAGATATGATATTGTTGCCATTACAGAAACATGGTGAGATGAAACCCACAAATGGAACACACAGCTAGAGGGATTTAAATTATTTAAAAGAAACAGACCAAATAAAAGAGGAGGTGGAGTTTCTCTCTATATAAGAAATAACTACATCTCTACAGAAATAGAGCACAACAATGATGAAAACTGTCTTGAATGCATTTGGGTCAATATAAAAGGGAGAAAAAATGACATTGCCATAGGTGTATACTATAGGCCACCCAACCAAACAGAGGAAATAGATGAACTTTTTGCTAGTCATGGTATGTAGGAAGCAAATCACAATAGTAAGGGGGACTTTAACTACCCTGACATCAATCAAATTGGGAGACAAACTCTGCACCAAGTGGAAGATCAAACAGATTTCTGACAAACAGACAACTTTGTCTCCCAACCTTGTACAGAAGGGAACTAGGGGATTAGCCATTTTGGATCTAATTCTCACTAACAGAGATGAAATGATAGAAAGTGTTGAAGCCATAGGAACTCTGGGAGGAAGTGATCATGCAATATTGGAATTCAACATTATGGAAGCACAAGCTTCCATAGTCAAACTAGAGTCTTGGACTTCAAGAGAGCTAATTTCAATAAACTTAGAGAGGGCATGGGAAGGATTCCATGGATGAGAATCCCCCAGGGGAAAACAACTCAAGAAGCTTGGGAAATTTTGAAAAGTGAGATAATAGAAACCCAGTCTAGCACAATACCAACAAAGAGGAAAAATAATAGCTCTCAAAAGAAACCAGCATGGCTGCATAAAGAACTCTGATAAATTGAAAGATAAAAAGGACAAGTATAGAAAGTGGAAAAAGGGGCACATAACTAAATCAGAATATCAACAAATAGCCCGAACCTGCAAAGATGAAGTGAGGAAAGCTAAGGCTCATAATGAACCAAAGTCAAAAATAACAAAAAAAAGCTTCTTTCAACATGTAAAAAACAAGAAAAAGTGAAGGAAATGATTGGTCCATTAGTGGGTGAAAGTGGCAAGAAGGTGACAAGCAATAGGGAGAAAGCAGAACTATTTAACTCATTTTTTGCATCTGTCTTTACACAAAGGGAAAAAACCAGACCAACCTATCAAAAATAGTACCATAAAAAAGAGTATAGAAACACAAGTTAAGATAGGCAAGAAAATGGTAAGTGAGCACCTGTCCAGCCTAGACGAGTTCAAATCGCCAGGACCAGATGGATTACACCCCAAGGTTCTCAAAGAACTGGCAGATGTGATCTCAGAACCACTGAACTATATTTTTGAAAGATCTTGGAGCACTGGGGAATTACCAGAGGACTGGAAAAGAGCTGATGTAGTTTCCAGCTTCAAAAAAGGAAAAAAAATGGATCCAGGAAATTACAGACCTATCAGCCTGACCTCAATACCGGGGAAGATTCTGGAAAAGATAATCAAACAACGAATCAGCGAACACCTAGAGGCAAACAAAATCACTACTAAAAGCCAACATGGGTTTGTCAAAAACAGATCATGCCAGACAAACCTTATTGCATTCTTTGACTAAGTGACAAAATTAGTGGATCAGAGGAATGTTGTGGATATAATTTACTTGGGCTTCAGTAAGGCATTTGATAAAGTAGATCACAACCTACTACTCAATAAGATAGAAAAATGTGGGTTAGACAGCATCACCACCAGATGGATTCGTAGCTGGCTGACTGGCCATACTCAGCGTGTGGTCCTCAATGGAACTGCATCTACATGGAGGGAAGTGTGTAGTGGGGTGCCTCAGGGCTCTGTTCTGGGCCCAGTACTCTTCAACATCTTCATCAATGATTTGAACGAGGGGATAGATGGGGAACTCATCAAATTTGCAGACAACATCAAGCTGGCAGGAATAGCCAACACTCCAGAAGACAGGCGTAGTATACAGGAGGATCTGGACAGACTTGAACACTGGGCACTATCTAACAAAATGAAATTCAATGGTGAAAAAAGTAAGGTTCTACATTTAGGCAAGAAAAACCAAACGTACAAGTATAATATAGGGGGTACCTTGCTCAATAGTAGTAACTGTGAGAGGGATCTCGGAGTCCTAGTGGACAATCACTTAAATATGAGCCAGCAATGTGCTGCAGCTGCCAAAAAAGCCAACACAGTACTGGGCTGCATTAACAGAGGGATAGAATCAAGATCACGTGAAGTATTAATACCACTTTACAATGCCTTGGTAAGGCCATACTTGGAATACTGCATCCAGTTTGGGTCACCACGATATAAAAAAAAATGCTGAGACTCTAGAAAGAGTACAGAGAAGAGCAATAAAGATGATTAGGGGACTGGAGGCTAAAATATATAAGGAATGGTTGCTGGAATTGGGTATGTCTAGTTTAACGAAGAAAGGACGAGGGGGGATATGATAGCACTATTCCAATATCTCAGGGGCTGCCACAAAGAAGAGGAAGTCAAGCTATTTTCCAAAGCGCCTGAAGGCAGGACAAGAAGCAACGGATGGAAACTAATCAAGGAGAGAAGCAACATAGAACTAAGGAGAAACTTCCTGACAGTTAGAACAATTAACCAGTGGAACAACCTGCCTCCAGAAGCGGTGAATGCTCCAATACTGGAAGTTTTTAAAAAGAGACTAGACAGCCATTTGTCCGAAATGGTGTAGGGTTTCCTGCCTGAGCAGGGGGTTGGACTCGATGACCTCCAAGGTTCCTTCCAACTTTGTTGTTGTTGTTATATAGAAAGGCTGCTTAGACGCTAACATTTCATTCTGCCATATCAATGATGTGGCAATGCGTTTTAATTTGTAATTTCTGCCTTGAAGACTTTAATATGATGATATTCCTAAAAATACACAATGTAATAAAAATCTATAAGAACTATCTTTAAAAACTTGTTACTCCAGAAAAAATATATAAAATACTGCTGGAAGTCTTAAGCCAAATTTTACAATTCTGTTGATACTATTACTGTAATAAACTTTTTTTTTTGGCATGAGGAAAATTCTGTGGAAAAATAATACAATAGATTATTGAGATAAATACTGACCTAAAATTTTAAATTCACTGATTTTTGACAAGAAGTAAAGACAGAAAGGAGTAAAATACTTCTACCAAAACAAACACTGATGTATTGTCATGTATTGCTAAACTAATGAAATTACATTAGATATAGATATAAAAACTAAGATATGAGTCTCACAGAATTTTTCTCACTTGTCAAAATGAGATAGTCTAGAATTTATTTCTTTTAAAAATGTATTATAGTCCAAAGAACTATATAATATTCAGCTTGACTAATATTCTATAATGTAGTTTTTCCTTATGATGAATCATCATACTTTAGCCAGGTCTCTTATAACAACAACAGCAATAATATATTCAAAGGAAAGTTTTTTTTAAAGTAAGTAAGTTCCTAATTCAGATAAATTCTTCATAGAAAATTATTGTATGGGGCGTATGGTATAATAACCATTTCCTCCTGAATTATGTGAACTTTGATCGCAGTTAATCTGAATCACAGTAAACTTAACTTCCCATTATGTATGAGCACATATATTCAATTGTCATGAGTTAGCAAATATAAAATAATGATAAACTTAAATGGCTGAATTAAAGAATTTCAAGTAAGAATTTCACCTGGTGTTTTGACACTTCCCTAGAGTTTTCAGCTCTATACAACAGTAAATAATTTTTTTACAACATGGTGAATATAGTATTTTATTCAAAACTGCAGCAGACTATTTAAATATTTTCTAAGAAAGAAATTGGAAAAGTGCTCTTTAAAAGATTCAATTCAATTTAGTTCAGTTTATTTATTTTGAATTCTGAGGTTTACCAACCAAAGCCAGCTAAGAAATAGGTACAGTAAGTCAAAAGAAAAGGTGCATGCTCTTAGACTTAATAAACAAGTACAGTATATATATATATATATGCCTCTCAGCACATGGACAATCCAGAATTATTTTTTTATAACTGAATTTTCAGTGTTACTTGCTTTTCTCCCAAGAGTACTTCAGCTTTAGCGGCCTTGTTAAGAAAAAGGGTGAGGAAATTTTTGATGTTGATGATGGCTATTGATATTTTACAATTAGAATAATGAAGGACAAAGAAGACATTGCTGAATTATAGTATTAAATGTTAAAGATAAGGGTAATTTATTTATAAAAATGATTGGCCGCCCATCTTATCACAGAATAGCTCTGGGAAGCTTATAATATGGTAATAAGTTGAAGAGATTCTGCATTTTTTAAATTATCTAAGACATTTCAGCAAATATAACAGTATTTCTCTTTTTCCTACCCATGTTCTTCACTTCAATAGAACTGTAGCCTTTTGCATCTGGCCATCTAAAAGGAATGAAAAATATCTTAGTTCATACAATACATAAATGAATAATTTACAATAAAACCTAAATCATACGACTTGAATTATGGTTTGATTTACCCAATGCATTAAGCAAAAATCAAATAAACCATATGTGAGAACCCAACTAAATATTGTATTATACTAGGTTTTGAAGGAAGAGAGAAGGAATAGAAATGATTCAGACCATGACTTTAGACAAAGGAATTCTACTATTTTCTATTGTTTAGCTTTTAAAAGAAGCTTAATGTAACAGGACCAGGGCTAACATATACATGATTATTTCTAGTACACATTTAAGTTTTTACTGCTCTTCTAACCAACTGTGAAAACAGCAGTTAGGACCATTTCCTTTGTTTCTGGAAATATGAAATTATATTAACTTGCATAACTCAGACACATCTTTTAAGTATTGCACAGAAAATGAACTACCTTCTGAGGCAGGAGGGAGGCTAAATGGGAAAATAAAGGTCTCTGCAACTCTTTCAGTTTAACATCAGACTACTACTAATTATTTGGCATAGTCGTCCCCAAATCTAGTATTTTCAAATATGTTGGACTATTATTTAGAGAACCCTCAACTTGTATAGCTTGGTGCCAATTAAGAACAATAAAAAATCTTGGCTTACTTCATTCATTGTGTTAAACCAAGATATGGTTTGGCTTAGAGTGTGATATTCCATCCACATTATATAAGTGATATGAAAACCCTGATAATGACATCTTAATCCATTAACCATGGTTAAACTACAATTTAGATTGTTAAAGCCAGTCATCATAAATTATTGTTATATATGTAATTATATAAAAACCTGGACAATGACTGAAACTGTAGTTAAGCAATGATTATTACTGATTTCAACTTGGAATTTTTCTATTGTCTAGACCTAGAACAAATATGTTTTTAACTGCTTTAAAAAAATAGCAAAAACATTACTTATCAGAAATGTACTTTAATTCTCCCTTTTTTCCTCTAGCCAGAGATACAGGAAACCAGCTGCATTGATTATCTTCATTGTCCTTTTTTTTAAAAAATCTTTTCTCCACAGTCATGTATGATAAATAGTAAAACAGGCAGACAAAAATGAACAGAGAGAAAGAAAAAAAAACCTTCCCCTACATTATTATGGTGCTCTGATATCAATAAAGTCTTACCAGTTTAAAAAGGCAGAAAATGACAGCTATTGCAAAGGTGGCTGATACTGATCAAAACAGTTTGCAAATCTTCTGGTACCAGAATACTAGATAACTAAATTTCCTGTGACTAATACTAGAAGTGGCTGAATGTGCTATACAGACTTTTTTCAGTTTCCCCATCATCTCCACTTTAATAAAGTTATTATATGCAACTAAAGGATATTTGCTATCTTTATAAATTATTTTAAGAAATAAATGTGTGTGGGGGGAAACAGAGGTACTGGTAGTCCTCGACTTACAATAGTTCATTTAGTGACCATTCAAAGTTACAATGGCACTGAAAAAAGTGACTTATGACCATTTTTCACATTGTACCATCCCCATGGTCACATGATCAAAATTAAGACTCTTGGAAACTGATTCACATTTATGACCATTGCAATGGCCTGGGGTCATGTTACCTTTTGCAACCTTCTGACAAGCAAAGTCAATGGAAAAGCCAGATTCACTTAACAACCATGTTACTAATTTAACAACTGCAGTGATTCACTTCACAACTGGCAAGAAGATTGTAAAATGGGGCAACATTCACTTAACAAATGTCTCACCTAGCAAGAATTTTTTTTGGCTCAATTGTGGTCGTAAGTCGAGGACTAACTGTACACCTGTACTGGGTGTTGCTCTGTGAACTCTCCTATTGGGATAGCTGGAAAGGCAAACTGGTTCTTAGCATTTCAAAGTCACAAAGTGAAGAGAATCACTGGTCGAAATGGAAACATTGGCAATATGTAAAGGTCCTGGGTGTCAAATTCTGGTTAAAATACAAGACATAATGGGCAGTGTGGCACTTTTTTTTTAGCTTAAGTGTACTGTAGTGCTGGTTCTAAAACTGCTGTATAATGATCTTAAATCACAATCTTAAATAAAAGTTCATAACCATTCCTTTTGGAAACATTATTTACACCAATCATACATCTTTTCAGAGAAGGCCAGGAACAACACTTTTTACATTTGCTTATGGTCTTGTGGGATTGCTTTAGCCTGTGGTGTAATCACTTTAATCTGTTTTAAGCATTACACAGTGGAAATATGGGATTCATATTTTAAAATAATGTAAGACAATAACCCTCTTCTGCTATTTATGATCAATCTAATCCCAGAGGGTACACATAGATACGAACAGATTCAATAAGGCCGTCAAACATTCCTTAAAGTCATCTTAGTTACTGGCTGTGGTTACAGGTTTCCCAGTGGGAAAGCCCTCTTTATCCAGGCCCATTGGGTTCCCAGAATAAGCCAGTCTTGCTAAAGTACGACTTCAGACTCTACAGTGGTGAGGGACCAAAGCTTCCCCTGGAAATTATCCATTATAAGTGTGACCCCACCATGTCATCATCATCTTATAAATAACAACTGGTTTTCTAGGCAGGCTTACTTTCAAAAAGCCTGACTAAATTCCTCCAGAGTCCAGACAAAACAAGACCACAACCCGGAAGCTGGCTGGGACTTCCCACGTCTTACTCTGCCTTAGATTGCCCCAAACTACTTACAGAAGCGCCGAGCCCAAAAGCCGCGCGCCGGTTGAGGGCGAGCCTCTCTTTTCCGTCAGTAAAGCGCCGCCTGCAAGTCGCTTCCCTGCTCTCTCTCCCCCCCCCCCCCAATTTTTCATTTCTTGAGCCGCGGGGAACCCTATAGCCCCGCGGGGGACCAGGATGGCCGCTCCCGCCAGAAGACGTTGAGCGGCTGTCCCCTCACCTCCGCTCGTAGCGCGTTAGGCAGCCGAGGAACCGCATGCTGGAATCGGGCGAGCTCGTGATTGCCCAAACCGCTTTCTTCTCAACTTCGCCAAACCCGAGCGCTTCTTTTCCCCATCTCAGGAGAACAGTTATCAGCGGTGCTACCCTGCCTGAGGAACCTGCGCACGCGCAAGACGAACTCGCCGATTCCTACGACAGGCCCTAGCGCCGCCGTTTCAAGTAACAAAGCAGTCTTCCACGTGGGACGAAGATGGGAGAGTAGGGAAAATCCAGCTTGGAGGGCAGCCCGATTTGCCCCATTTTACATCCTTTCTTGTCACAGTTGTTAAGTGAATCACTGCAATTATTAAATTAGTAACACATTTTAAGTGAATTTGCACTCGCCATTGACTTTGCTTGTCAGAAGATCCAAAAAGTGATCACATGACCATGGGACACCAGTCGTCTCCTGCCAAGTGTCTGAATTTTGATTACGTGACCATGGGGATGCTGCAATGGTTGTAAGTGTAAAAAACGGTCATAAGTCACTTTTTTCACTGCCATTATAATTTTGAATGGTCACTAAATGAACTGTTGCAAATCAAGGATTACCTGTACTCTATTATTCAGATTTTTGTATTGGTGTATGCATTTTGATCTTTGCAAATAAAGAATAATCTATGCTTCTAACTATAAAATGAAAATAGTTTAATGCCTTATTAAAATCTAAAAAATCTGTAATAACTTCATATTTTACAGTTCATCTCAACAACTACATGTAAAGTTACCTTGAGAATTGAATAGTCATAGTTTGAGGAGGGAAAACTAATTGCAGCAATTAAATACATGACAAGCTAGCAAACACCAAATTAGCCCAGCAGGTTATAAAAATGTAACCCTTATATTTATTTTGTTTATGGTTCAATCCAGAAAGCTGGGCTAATTATAAGACTGTTGGCAAAATCAATCATAGAAGACAATTTACCTTTTACAGATGCAATTCACACACATACATCATTAATAGAATTGCAACTGGGTGCTAGGAAAAATTGGGTTCTAGCTTATGCAAAGATAGCAACTGCTTATTTCAAGGCATTGTACAGGTAGTCCTTGGGTTACAAGTACTTAACCACTTTTAGCAACTATTCAAAATTATAATGGCAAGGACTGGTTCTTGAAGTTTCAGCTATCGCAGTGTTCACCATTTATGGCCTTTCCTGCCTGTCAGTGGAGAAGCTGGCAAGTTATAAGCCACTGCCATTCTCACATTTTTCACCCACCTGATTCTCATATATCACTAACCTGCTTTTCAAGTCTTCCAACTGCACTTGTGAAGTGGGTTTAATTTTTCCATATGTTAAACTTATGAAGGAGCTTATATTTTGATATCTGTATCTTTCTGGAATTTTAGTGATTATTTCAAAAGCTTTTGTAGTCAAAATCTGTTCTCTTTGATATCATGGTAGGAGTATGGCTCCACTTTTACCGAAAAAATCATTTTTTTTCTGCATTTAAGGTTGCAGGATGTATTTGGATATTGGTCAGATTTGTTCCTTATTCTGATGAGAAATGGTATTCTTCTATAATCTCCATTTGAGAACTATAGATAACTTTATTTTTGAGCTCATAGTTGCAAACTTATTTTTTATTCTTTTTTTGCTTTGTTGTTTTTTCTATTATGTTGCAATGTCTTTTTGATTTTTTTCTGTGTTGTATATTAAAAAAAATAAAAAATAAAAATATTTAAGCAAAAATAATTGTCTCCTATAAATTACCAGATTATAGGTAACTCCAACTGTGTTTTGTCATGTTAGATAATGATTGGAATTTGTTTTTCTTAGAATATAAGTATGTGTTATTTAGAAATGATTTCCTTCAAATACTTTAAAATTTTTACAGTTTGTGAATTGTTTGTGACTAGTTACTGTATTATTAGCCTTTTTACATACACATAGTTTCACTTATTTTATTTACTTATTTTTAAAATGTGTATGCTCCCTTTAAACCTTTTTTCCCAGAGCATAGAATACAATTCAATCGAATTCAAATACTTCTGAACGTTATTTAATTTAATTGGAAGCCACCAAAGCAAAAATCCATATACATGTTTTCTTTTTTTTCTTTCCTTAATATATATAAAAAAGTGTAGGGAGTCAGTATCCCCCAGAGAATGAAATATTTTGGGAAACATTAAAAGAGGCAGGATAGAATATTCCCCCTGAAGGAGAAATAGAGAAAAAAAATCTTAAGGGAGGCAGAAACCAGCTCCAGTCTCCCTGCCCCAAGCAGAAACCAGCTTTTAGAAATGCAGATTTGGTAATCAATTCAGGGAGACTGGGGGCTGGAAGGCTGGATCTGAGGGATTAGAAAAAGACTCCTAAAATTTACATTCCCGACCCAAATTTTAAGACAGGACATGACCTTTAGGACGTAATAGTATTAACCCACCACCATTAGAATACCAAAAGGGCACACTCAAGTGCACCTCAAATACAAAGCCCAAAGAAGGTATAAAAACCCACTCACTCTCAACTCCATTTGGTCAGCTGTCCCAGAACTGCATGCTGTTGCAGGTTCTGCTCATTAATAAACAGGCACCTTCTTTCTTAAGCAGCCTCCATTTTTATGTCCAGCATCTTAGTCTCTATTTTATTTACCCCCCAGCTTGGACCTGGACCTGCTTTTTCTTTCAACAAAAGGAAGAGAAAAGAAGAAATTGGGAAAGGATAAATTTATTTTATACAAATAAAAAACATATTTCTGTTGTGTTGCACAATTAAATTAAAAATGCACAAGAGCCAAAACCTATAGATTAGTATATGCAATCTTCCAAGCAATAAACTGCTTTTCAAATATGGAAAGAAAGATAAATTATTTGGAGCCCTTTATAAACTAATGGAGACTAAACATCTGTTTACTATTGTACTAGAATGAGCATAGAAAAAATAATACTTGTTTTTATTGTCCTACTTTAAATTTGAATAGTATATAATAAAAATATGACCATCTACAAAAGCAGTAATCTTTGAGAACAAAATTAAGAAGAGAACTACTGTATCTTTGGTCCAAAAGGAAGCCTGTAAAGTACTCAATTACATTATATAATGTTAGATTGCATTCTGATTGCCACATCACCAACAATTTGCTAAATCTATCAACACCTTGTGAAAAAGTCATGTAAGGTTCAAAGTAGTCAGTAGATAAGTAATATTTATCACTGCACTATTAATTATTTCAAATCTACAGAAATATGGCATACAGTTATTAAAATGGCTTTTCATTGATATATGTCCTTTAATTCTATATACCTCTCTAAACTTCTAATTTACTATACTATACTATACTATTAATATTACATATACTTTAAAGGCTTTTTATTTTATAAAAAATATCTTAAATAATCTAATATACCTTTCTTTATTCAGTAAATTACATCTCAATAAGACCATAGAACTGCTTTATGTTTTATTCATTGGGGAGGTTGAATTAATCATTTTGACCAATAGAGGGCTGTGTTTGATTACATAAACTGTCATGCTGCTTAATAAACATGAAAGAATAGTACATATAATATCTTTAATTTTCACTTACTGTATAAGCTCATTTTCCTAGCCTTAAGGTTGTTCTATTTCTACTAAAGTTTGCAAATTTATCTTTTTTTATATATAAATCTGCATTACACTAAAAAGCAAACTGAATCAAAGCAAAATATAATCTTATATTTCAGGTGTTAACTCTAGCAAAAACCTTCTAATACTTAGCTGGACTTTGCCTGTTTAACACATTTTTAACACATTTTAATGGTGTCTCCAATTAAGATCCCAATTAATCACTGGATGGAATTACACTTTCAGCTGCAACTTCTGCAATTTGTTGCCCAATAAGCAAATCTGTTGATCGGGGGGGGGGGGCTTTATTTCAGAAAGGAGGACTTACTGTAATGTTTAGATCAGTGGTTCTCAACCTTCCTAATGCTGCGACCCTTTAATACAGTTCGTCATGTTGTGGTGACCCCCAACCATAAAATTATTTTCGTGCTACTTCATAACTTTAATTTTGCTACTGTTATGAATACTAATGTAAATATCTGATATGCAGGGTGTATTTTCATTGTTACGAATTGAACTTAATTAAAGCATAGTGATTAATCACAAAAACAATATAGCAATGCTCCCTGGAGAAGTTTACTCTTCCATGCTCAAAAATGCTAGGAGGGATGGAGATGGAAGGAAGGAAGGAAGATTGAAGGGGAAAGGAAGGAAATGGAGAAGGAAGGAGATTGAAGGGGAAAGAAGGAAGGAACGAAGGAAGGAAGGAAGGAAGGAACGAAGGAAGGAAGGAAGGAGAGATTGAAGGGAAAGGGATGGAGATGGAAGGAAGAAAGGAAGATTGAAGGGGAAAGGAAGGAGATGGAAAAGGAAAGAGATTGAAGGGGGAAGGAAGGAGAGAGATTGAAGGGGAAGGGATGGAGATGGAGATAGAAAGAAGGAAGAAAGATTGAAGGGGAAAGGAAGGAGATGGAGAAGGAAGGAGACTGAGGGGGAAAGGAAGGAAGGAAGCAAGGAGAGATTGAAGAGGAAGGGAAGGAGATGGAAGGAAGGAAGGAAGGAAGGAAGGAAGGAAGGAAGGAAGGAAGGAAGGAAGGAAGGATTGATCTTTGGAGAGTCATGTTTTTCCAGATGGTGATGAACTGCAACTCCCAGCATTCCCCACTCTTCCACAGTGCTTTTTAGGGCTGCTGGGGATGGTAGTCCAGTAAGGTCTGGAGACACACACAGATGCCCTCTGACGGTGAGGGAGGCGGGCTGGGCGGCGTGGGGGAGGCTCCTGCGTGGCGCAGAGGGAGGCCGGGGCCGGAGCGCGGGCAGGCAACCAGGAGGCGTGGGGACCGGCTCGACGCCGCAGCTCAGCTCAGCCAGCAGCAGCAGCAGCGCATTGCTAGAGCAGGGCGGGAAGAGAGGGGGCGGTGGTGGCAAGTCATGAAAGCAGCGTCCACACATTCAGGGTGTAAACACCTTGGACAGTTTGGCTTCCCCACCCCTTTATTTACTGATCTGCCACAAGCTTGTGCAAACAAGCCCCAAGGAGTTCTGAACGAACAGTCATTAAAAAAAAAAAAAGCTTTAAGCAACAAGGCAGAAAGGGGAACTCGCTAACGGCTCTTTTTTTTCCCTTTCTCAGCAACTGGAAAGGCAGCAGCCAGAAACGCCGCTGTACAAAGGGAGGCGGAGAGAGGGGAGAGGGGGAAACCTCACTCAACTTTCGCCCTTATCAGACCTGGTTCCCTCTGGTCGACCCCCACCCACCCACCCCCTTCACCTCCCGCTACAGATCGACGCTACCCCTCAGGAGTATTTCGCCAGCCTTTTTTTTTTTACCTTGGCCCTGTGCTTCTACCAGACGGAAGCCAGGCAAGAAGACCTGAAAGATGCCGAGCAGGAGGTTCATCACTGTAGCGATGCAGCAATAGCTGTTCTGCGATGGGTAGTGCAGCCCCGCCATGCTGCTGAGGCGGCTGCTTTCCTGTCTGCCTGAGCTGGCTGGCGGAGCTAGCCTTGAGCAGAAATTCTCACTAGTGTCTCGGTTCCTAAGACCATCGGAAATATGTGTTTTCCGATGGTCTTAGGCGATCCCCGTGAAAGCGTCGTTCGACCCCCAAAAGGGTCGCGACCCACAGGTTGAGAACCGCTGGTTTAGATGAAGCATTTCCTAGTTTTGATCAAGAGTAGTTCTTGCTCAGATCAGATTGATAGAAGTCAGAACTAAGTAGTGTGATACCTACAGTGTGCCCATCCATGTCCATGTAATGATATGCCTGGGCATTATCTGGCTCTCTGCCACTCATTTAAGAAAATAAAGAAAATTGATATAATATCAGATGAAGCACAAGCTTCATTCCTGCCCCACTGCCAATATTTCTGAGCCCACATAGGCATAATAGGTATTGTTACAAGCTAAAAATATGAATAGTTATAGAGTTTAGTCACTATCTAGAAAATAAAGACAAGAAAGGTGGCTACAGTGGTTGGCCTGCTAATAAATAGATACATTTCATAACTAACCACTGCAATTTTTGGTACCATTTTTGTGAACAAGTGTCCCTTGTTTCATGGTAGCCACATTCACATTTAGTAATTAGTGAGCTTCCCCAAAACATTGTTGTGACAACTTGCCTCCAGAAATCGTGGGTACTCCATCACTGGAGATTTTTAAGAAGAGACTAGACAATCACCTGTCTGAGATGGTATATGTTCTTCTGCTTGAGCAGGGGGCTGGACTAGAAGACCTCCAAGGTCCCTTCCAGATTCTATTCTATTCTATTCTATTCTATTCTATTCTATTCTATTCTATTCTATTCTATTCTATTCTATTCTATTTCTTGTGGAAATAAGCCTGTGGTAACTCAGTTCAGTGGCCTCATGAAAAATGATAAGACAATAAGTTTTGGGAATCTCAGGAATAGCTGCACTAGAAAGCAGACAAGCTCTGGGAGCTGAAAGAATATTTTGAGTCCACCAGAACAAAAGCTATTGTTTAAGATATCCTTACAAAGCTGTCCTTGTACAATGTTCAGCAGCCAGAAGCTATACTGAGTAAAGTTATAAAGAGCCTACGCTACACTGTGATTGGCTCCAGCTAATCTATTGCTACCCATCTCCCATGAAAAGCACTTGGTTGCTAGAAATCTCTCGTGAATAGCTTGAGTTAAATTTACCAAACCCAAGTGAGCTGCCCATCCAGCTCTCTATTCATTACTTCAATTAACAATCAGACGCCTGAAAAATACCCCAATCTGCTTCTTGAGAAGGTGTGCAGAAAATCGATGAGCCAAGCCAATTAGCATCCCATTTGTGACCATCTAGGGAATTTAATTGGAGCCACTTGCTTGATCGAAGGTCCAATAACATTGTTGTTTAGTTAGGGAGAATGTAATGTTTGGTAAATGAATAGAGTCCCTTAAGGCCCATATGCTAGTGGCATTTCCAGGCCAGAAGGGGCAATAAGGCAAGCGTGCTTTGTTGTGTACACATGGCTTCTTGTATTCTTGGGATGGAGCTACAGCAGCTGGACACAACCAGGACAAGCCTACGCCACCCGGGGTGGGCGTTATAGCTTCCCCACTAAATTGTTGCACACATGAACAGGCACATTGTCTACTTTTAAAAAGGCATTTCAACTGCCCATTACCAGGAGCTGCCAGACAACAAAAAGGATGTTGCCTCAGTTTGTGGACAACCTGTCTTCAGAACATATTGTTTGAGGGTAATTAATTTGCAAATTGCCTGCTTGCAAATCCATGCCTGAATTAGTTACTTTTCTCCTCCCAAAGCATGCTTGCAATTTCAACTATATTTTTTTAAAAAATCACAGGAAGTCCCATGAATTTAAGCTACCAGATCTAGGCTGCAAAAATCCAAATGACTATTAGATAGCATCAAAGTGTTGGAGTTTACTGTATCTGTTCACTGATATTTACTAGTTATCTGAATTTTTATAGCTTAAATCAGTGGAATGACTTGCCTCCAGAAGCTGTGGGTACTCCAACACTGGAGGTTTTTAAAGAAGATATTGGACAACCATTTGTTTGAAATGGTATAAGTTTTTCTGCTTGAGAAGGGAGTTGGAATAGAAGACCTCCAAGGTCTCTTTTAACAATGTTATTCTGTTATCTGGTATTTGAAATCTGGTAGCCTGACATGAGTAATGCGATCTCATAAGGAGCAATTGTTTCTGCCTTGACAAATGGAAAAATAACTGGCTTTCAGAATGATGAAAGGTGACTTGTACTGTACTTAAAACTTTTACTTTAGGCTGGAGAGAGCTAATATGTTTTAAGACATCTGAAGAGGATTGATTGGCTTAGCACAGTGATGGCGAACCTTTTAGAGACTGAGTGCCCAAACTGCAATCCAAAACCTACTTATGCATCGTCGAGTGCCGGGCGGGTATGGCCCATTGGGTGGGCGTGGCCCATTGGGTGGGCATGGCTGTGGTGGTAACGGCAGACTGGGTGGGACTAAAAAGTTCAATCAATCAATTCCAACTTTGCAAGATCTTTTTTTTCCCATGAGAAGTTGAAATTGACTGATTGAACTTTTTTTTTTTTTTTTTTTTTGCACACAGCGGCGGAGGCCTAAAGTGAAAAAGGTTTTATAAAACCCAGCTGAAGGCCTAGGACTTGGGCAATGGTGTGCGTGCCCACAGAAAGGGCTCTGAGTGCCGCCTCTGGCACCCGTGCCATAGGTTCGCCACCACTGGCTTAGCACTACTTCTTTTTTGCCTAAACTATGATTGTTTCTAGTCTGCAATCTTCTGAAAACTAAACTAAATTATTATTAAATAATATGACCGGCCAACAGCTGAATGAGTATTCAGACCATATGCAATGATGTTTTTATCACAGGCATTCCACTGTGAAAAATTAAACTTGACTTTGAAAAAGGTTGGCTTCATTTTGAACCTCTTAGAAGTCAGCAGTCTGATTTAGACCCAAAGTATAAAATATTGGTTCTGCCAATTATGAACTCATTTCAGTAAAGATCAAATCGTGGTCATATATTCTTGTTTTACATTCACACTGAATTTGAAAACTGCAGGTTTTTTAAAACATGAAGCATAACAGGAAAGCTTGGTTAATTAAAAGTAAACAATGGAAGTTTCAGATGACTTGATTTGGAAAATTTTATAGTAATTTTAACTATTCTTATCTAATATCTACTAAGACAATACAATATTCCAAAAAATAAAACTGAAGGACTAAAGCAAATGTAAATTTCCAAACATACAGTATTTCTTTCCTTTCTTCAATTACAGCTTCCCACTGAGTCTATAGGCATTTCTCGAGGAGTGGGGTGAGGTTTGCATTAGCTTGGCAGCATCTCCTTACCTGTGATCCCATGAGGCTAAGTAGTGATGGAAAAGTAAATTGATTTCATTCTGGTTCAGCTGCAGGTCAATTAAATAGCAGACATGAGGGTGTGTTTTTTTGTTTTTTGAAATATTGATATCCATGTAAACATCTCTACATATGCAGAAACATAATTTGGAATAATGACTTGGATGTGGAAGTGAAACTGCCTTTCCCTTTTGCATGAAGTTAGAGAATGTTTATTAGTCCACCACTCTAAGATGGTGCAATGACTGAAAGCTATCTCTTTCTTCTTGTTCTCAGTGCTTAAAAGCTGAGTTAAAGTTAAGACAATTAGGGATCATCTTCATGCTGGTTTTGAGGAAGGTGACGTAGAAGTAGCTCTGTGATATGTCCTGGGATTCTGTTCCTGTGCTTTCAGCAGAAAAAGGTTTTCTGTTTCTTGGTGGCTTTCAAAAATTGTCTTCTTTATGCGGCTCATTGGGGTAGGGAGATCTTTACTTTCATTTTCTTCCATGCTAATTGAGATTGGTGTTTCCTCTTCCTTATGATAGCTGTTTCTGATGGCTGATTAGCCTGGCAACAGGAAAGAGAGGATAGGGCTCTGTTGGTCATCCTTTGTTACATGGACCCAGTGGGAAGGGTGCCTACCAACATGTCTACCACTTGTCCATATTTTGGAAGCTTCTAAAGTCAGCGCTATTTTAAAGTACCTTCACCTAATTTTACCATGCCATGTCTAACTTGTTTATTGCTTGTATTCTTATATTTGGTTGGTGGTTTTATTATTGTTTTTCAGAAGTTTGTAACCAGAATATTTCACTTGTTTTTTATAGTCTACGTAATCCAACAAGTCTCTTGGATTATGAAAAATAGATGATAGATGATAGATAGATAGATAGATAGATAGATAGATAGATAGATAGATAGATAGATAGATAGATAGAATAAAAATTCATCATATACTGTAGTTTAAAGGCAATTTTGGGACTGGTGATGTGATGTGTATTAACTATCTAATTTGCAAAACAAATGCTTTTCATCAAACAAGTATTATTCAGACTGAACTGTGAGACAAATTCATCGAAGGGCCTTGTTAATGAAATGTGGACAACAGAATAACTGATTAAGAAACAGCAACTGTTGGCTGATTACATTGCAGTTGTTTTGACCTTCCCAGATCTGTCCATTCTACAATAGCTTTGTATCTTTATTCTGTGTCATTAACACTTTTAACAGTTAAAAAGAAAGACTGTTTTCTTGACAAATTCTCAGGGATTATTGAAGCTAAGAGATAAATATATATTTTAAAGTTTGCACTGGGTTATACTAGAAGAGTATTCAGAGTAAAACCAATAATGATTTTAAACCAAATAAGAGGATTGGGCTCTTCAAAACTGATTAAGAAAACATGTTTTAAGAATTATGTTCATATATTAAAATGTAGTAACTTTAAAGGTAAATAACAGTGGTATAGATATACATTATAGCTTACATTTTTGCTATAAATCTGAAGAATTCTTCTGTATCTGATAATTCTGCATTCACGCTGCTGTCATACAGCTCTTGAGAATCACCACCTTAATTTGAGAGTCAGGAAAAATAATTTAACTGGATTTAATGAAAGCATGTAGCCTTACAAATAGCTTAGAGACATTCTAGAAAAGAAAGAGGGGAGCATTGTTTAACTTGTCTCTATCTGCTTTAATACATAAAATGTCACAATTTCCTCAAGTGAAGCTCTGGATCTAACTGCTAATCTTTGATGATTATTTATTACTGCATTATTTTATGAAGATTAATTCTATGGCTACAGAAAATCAGGTGGACTTCACCAGACCAACCAATGCTCTTGATCTAATCTTCTTTAAAATTGTCAGGGCATTATTAGATATAATGTAATCTTTCCAGATTAATACCAGCGCACTTGAAGATATTACTCTTCTCAAAGAGAATTCAGATGCTTTAAAAATTACAAATAGTACCGTAATTCTTTTCAGTTAAAGTAACAAAATACTTTATGAAAGCAGACTGAATTTCAGCAATATACTGTTGCTTCCAAGGAAAGGCTGATAGAGGCTGGGTGGGCAAAAAAGACACACATGGCTGCTACCTCATTTTACTGGGTCCAGAGTATCACACTCAATTAAAAATTCTGTCTTTGATAATTAAGGCAGAGATGGGACTCAGAGGAATTCAATAAGGTAGTTTTGACTGTGACTTTGCTCCAGATATGTTAGAATACAGATTTTGGAACTCCAGTCAGCATATACATTGAAAATTTTGGGCTGTAATCTTAAAACATATGAACAATATGTTTTAAGATTACAATGGAGAAGTCTGCTTTAAGCAGAATAGGAGTAACATTCCCCGTGATCTTTCAGTCTCTATTTGATTATGTCTCTGGAACTATGATTCTGAGCCACTATTTTTATAGACAATTAAATGTCTGTGTATTACAGGTAGTCCTCAATTTATGACAAGTCAGTAATTATTCAAAGTTATGACAGACCTCCCCAGAGCTACTTATGTCTCACTTTTGAAGTTACTATGACCCCACTCCCTGTGGTCACCTGATCACATTTTGAGTGCATGGCAACTAACTCATCTTTATAGCTGCAATGTCCCACACTCACTGGACCACATTTTTTGATGCTTTTTGCCAGTTTTAAAGTGTTTACTTCCATTTTCCAACAAAAAAAAAATGCATTGGAAGAATATATTTACTTAACAACTGTCATTTGCTTAACAAGCATGTTTTTCACTTAACAACTGCAACAAAAAATGTTGGAAACTTGGGTTTAGTCATGCGATGCCTTGACTGATAACCACAATGACTTACAACATAATTCCAAGCTCAATTACAGTTGTAAGTTGATGGTCAATTTTGGTCACCACATTCCAAACAAGATGTTGAGACTTTGGAAAAAGTGCAGAAAAGAGCAACTAAAATGATTAAAGGCCTGGAGACTAAAACATATGAAGAATGGTTGCAGGATTTGGGTATGGCCAGTCTAGAGAAAAGAAGGACTAGGGTGGACATGATAGCTGTATTCCAGTATTTGAGAAGCTGCCACAAGGAGGAGGGGGTCAATTTATTTTCCAAAGGACCAGAAAGCAAGACAAGAAACAATGGGTGGGAACTAATCAATGAGAGAAGCAAGCTAGAATTAAGGAGAAACTTCCTAACAGTGAGGACAATTAACCAGTGGAACAGCTTGCCTTTAGACATTGTGGATGCTTCATCATTGGATATTTTCAAGAGGAGACTGGACAGCCACTTGTCTGAAATAGTATAGGTTCTCCTGCTAGAGCAGGGGGCTGGACTAGAAGATCTCCAAGGTCCTTTCCAGCTCTATTCTGATTCTCATTCTGAAACCTCTTTTGAGTCAATCTAAATTTGTGATTCTGTGGACAATTGTGTATAGTCTTCTTGGCAATTGTTTAGAGTGGTTTATGTTGAATTCTTCTGGAATTTTTTTAATTTCTCAATCTATTTTACCATTCTTAGATTTCCTGGTGATCTCCCATGCGGATTATTAACAAGGCCTTTTTAGTCATTCATGACCAGTTAAGGGAAATTAGATAATGCTACCTAATGGGACACTTAACCACTTTTAACTTATTATGTGAACTTAGCAGTTCTATGGGCCGTTCTTATTTCTCATGGCTGATGAAGACAGAAAAGTGATAATAGCTAACATTGGAAAGTTATGTATCAGTAAATAAAATTCACTCAGCCAGGTAGGTACTTTAAAAATATTTAGAAAGGTTATCTGAGCAATGATCATAAAAAGAATAACTGATTAAAATAGATAAACTGAAAAGAGATCAAGGGGAGATTATTATTTGGGGGTGAGAGGCACTAGTCTCTCTGAGTCTCAAAGTTTATCAAACACAGTGCATCCCTTGAAAATGTAACATTTGTTTTCTCTCTTAAGATTTCTTCTTTGGATAGTCTGAAAAATAGATGTACTTTAAATTCTAACTTTTAATTTCTGTTATTGCCTTTTTAAAAAAGGATTTGGGGCAGGAAGAATAATTTCTCCAAAGGGTTAAACCGTTTATTTAAATAGGTTTGTTTATTATGTTGTAGTGCTTTGCTTGTTCTGCGAATTAATAAAAGATAAGCTAAAAGTTCATTTATAAGAGTATTAAAGGATAATTATGATGGAGTAAATGCAGAGGGTCAAAAAGCATTATCATGAATAGCTACATAATAGGAAACTAGCTAAAATATAACCAGTAGTGTATAGCAGCACCAGTACCAAACTTTGCATTCCATCAAATGGGTGTGGACCCTTCCTCTGACAGCATTTTAATTAAAAAGTGAGATATCTGAAAGTATCTGTTCATCCATAAAGGTAACTCAGCCTCAGCAACTTAAATTAAAGCTGAAGGCAGGATTGTAAATATGTGACCCCTTAATGTCAACAAAATAATAAAAAAGATTTGGTTAGGAAATCTGTTTCAATCAGATTAGAAGAAAAGTGGGTAAAGCTGATTACAAGCCCACTAAACATAGTATTTAAGCAGTATTTGTTGAGGAACAATAGCATTAATTCTACTTTAACAAGTATCAATAATGGGAACGAGTTATTAATGTGTAAATTTAGGTGTAGGGAAAGTGGAAGTGAATGGATCATATTCTTTCAACGTGATCTATTAGATGGATAAACTTTACTCAGGATTACAGTTGAGTGGATGGGGATGGAAAGCTAGACCACTGGCACTATTTAATATCTGTACCTTTAATTTTTTAAAAGTAGGCAATAATGTGTCTACGAACTCACTAACTTGGGGCCTTTTACATTTGTATTACAGCATCCATAATCCTCAGCTACTGTAATGACTGAGAATTTGCAGAATTGTACAATACGGTAGTCCAGTACATCTGTCAGGCACTATCTTGAAGAAAGCTGCAATACAATGCTGCTTTTTAGAATAGAATAGAATAGAATAGAATAGAATAGAATAGAATAGAATAGAATAGATCTTGGAGGTCTTCTAGTCCAGCCCCCTGCTCCAGCAGGCGAACCTATACCATTTCAGACAGGTGACTGCCTAGTCTCTTCTTAAAAACATCCAGTGATGGAGCACCCACGATTTCTGGTAGCAAGCTATTTCACTGGTTAATTGTCCTCATTGTTAGGAACTTTCTCAATTCCAGGTTGATCAGTTTCCAACCATTGTTTCTTGTCTTGCCCTCTGGTACTTTGGAGAATAGTTTGATGCCCTCTTCTTTGTGGCAGCCCCTCAAATATTGGAATACTGCTATCATGTCGTCTAGGGTGGGATTCAAATATGTGTTATCTGTGTGAATGCCGCTTCCGGAAGTCCATTCTGGGCCTGGGCAACTAAAAATTAGCTACCGGTTCTGCCGAAGTGGTGCGAACCAACTGAATCTCACCACTGATGTCGTCTCTGTTTCTTCTTTTCTTTAGACTAGCCAAACCCAAGTCCTGCAGCCGTTCTTCATATGTTTTAGTCCTCCAGGCCTTTGATCATTTTAGTTGCTCTTTTCTGAACTTTTTCCAAAGTCTCAACATCTTTTTTGTAGTATGGTGACCAAAATTGGTTGCAGTATTCCAGATGTGGTCTTAATAGCAGTGGTTCTCAACCTTTTTAATGCCATGACCCCCCAACCGTTCGTAAGTTGAGGATTACTCAACTGGTCGTAAGTCGAGGACTACTCAACTGGTGCAGCACCGTTTGCAGAATGGGACTTTTGGTGGGCTCAGCAGGGCAGAGACAGCCTGGACAATTCCTATTGGCTTTTGAAAGCCAATAGAATTAGACTCTATTCAAGAGAGTCTATTCTATTGGCTTTCAAAAGCCAATAGAATAAAAGGGAGTGGCACAGCTAAGGAAAAGGGGGAAAAAATGGCAGACTGCGTTGTTTGGCGACCCCCGTGAAATGGTCGTTCGACCCCAAATGGGGTCCCGACCCACAGGTTGAGAACCACTGCTTAATAGGGTTTTATAAAACAGTAATACTTTGCATGATCTTGATTCTATGCCTCTGTTTAAACAACCAAGGATTGTATTAGGTTTTTTGGCTGCTACCGCACACTGCTGGCTCATAGTCAAGTGATTGTCCTCTAGGACACCAAGGTCCCTCTCACAGTTACTATTTTTGAGCCAGGTCTCACCTAATCTGTACTTGTACCTTTGATTTTTCTTTTCTAAATGCAAAACTTTGCTTTTCTCCACATTAAAATTCATTTTGTTTAATATCCACATTAAAATTCATTTTGTTTAATCTCTGTACCTTTAATTTTTTAAAAGTAGGCAATAATGTGTCTAGATCTTTTTGGATCCTGAGCTGGTCTTCTGAGGGGTTAGCTATTCCTGCCAGTTTAGTGTCATTTGCAAATTTGGTGAGTTCCCCTTCTATTTCCTCATTTATTTATTTATTTATTTATTTATTTATGAGACTTATATACTGCTTTAAGTGCAAGCACTCTCTAAGCGGTGTACAGCAGTAAGCAATGTGTGTATATATATATATATATATATATATATATATATATATATATATATATATATATATATATATATATATATATATATATTGTTTTCTGAGGTTTTCGCGGGTATTTGTATGTAGGTCTTTGGTTGTTCGGGTTTTCTCCCAGTAAAATTGGAAGTGTCTTGGCAACGTTTCGACGAAGTCCCATTCGTCATCTTCAGGCTGGTGTTTTCAGCTTCGTGCTTTGAGCAGCAATGTGTGGTCTTAGCTGTTTCTTCCTTTTAACTGCCAGTGGGGGTATGAACTGATTGGGTGGGAGCTTGGCTGTGTTCTGATTGGGTGGAGGTGTGTTCTGAATGGTTAGGGGCTTGGCTGTGCTCTGATTGGCTGGGGGAGTGTTCTGTTTGGTTGTGCTCAGGTTAGTCTGAGTTGCAGAGGGGTTTAAGATTTTGGGCTGCCTTGCTATTAACTCAGTCAAAAAAGAGGAACCAACATCTTCCCTGGTCCAACACCTTAAAGCCACAGGACATGAAATTGACTTTAAAAATACCAGAACCATTGCCAAAAGTGAACATTTTAATAACAGAATAATCAGAGAAGCCATCGAGATAGAAAAACGCCCACACAGCATGAACAAGCGAGATGATACCTCCCGCCTACCAGCCATTTGGAAACCCGCCCTTATTGACAAACGACTCCCTAACACAAAAAATGATACCAGACCCACACTCACAAAAACCACACAGGAGGTCACCACCACACATCCACGCAAAAAACAAACCCAAAGCCACACCGATGACGAGGCACGACCACAAACCAGAAGCCAGACCACAGCTGCATCATTAGCCATTTTAAACCCCTCCAATCCATACATGAACCAAACTGACACCCTCCATGAAGAGGAGACACAACCACGAACGAGAAGCCAAAAAATAGCAAGGCAGCCCAAAATCTTAAACCCCTCTGCAACTCAGACTAACCTGAGCACAACCAAACAGAACACTCCCCCAGCCAATCAGAGCACAGCCAAGCCCCTAATTTTCCAATCATCAGGTACTTTTGAAAAATATGGTGCAATGGTTCTGAGATAACATCTGCCAGTTCCTTCAGAACTCTGGGATGTAATCTGTTGGGTCCTGGTGATTTTACTCCTGGAGAGATATGAAGTAGACAAACACTATTATTTTGTGATGGGAGATGGCAATAAACAAAGAATGTTTATAAGCAAAATGAAATATTTTGATAAGTTTGGAAGAATTCAACAAATATGGATATTTTACAAGCAACAGTGTGAGGCATTGGGGCCAGGATGTTAATGGAGTTTGTTTGTGTATGCATGTGCATGTGTGTGTGAGAGAGGGAGAGATGGTTATGCTGTAGGAGGCTTTTATTCTCAGGTTGTTGGAGAGATTTTTAGGGTGCCTCAAGTTTTTCCCCAGCCCTTGATCACATAGGGTTGAGCACAGAGCAGAACAGTGGAGCTCTGGGGGGCTTCCTGCATAGCAGTGATGTTCCCAACTCTTGATTGTCTGCATCTAGTGCAGGCATCATTTAAAAATTATTACTGCCCAGTAGTTCTCCATTGGAACAACCACTCTGCTTGCCAGAACTCTACATTTGTCTTTTGAACCTGTTGCCTGTAGAAACTTTGCTTCCTGGAACCCATGGAGGCCGATAACCCCTATTTCGATTTTCCGACTTCTAGATTGTAACCTGACTATGCTTCTGGACCGGAACTGTTTGCATCTAAGAACTTGCAGACTTAGTTGCTCTGTGCATGACTTTGCACACACGCCCTCTTGCTGCCGCCTATATTTACTAAATTCTATGTAAAAGATCCTTGCATACATATTTTTCAATTTGTATGTATGTGCCCTAGGACAGGAAATCGTTTAAACTTGGGTTAGTTTGCATGACACAGGAGAAATTAACTGACCAGAGAGGGACAATTAGTTTAACATTAGAAGGAGCAGATCTGCCCGGAGCTGAATTTAAATATCTCTAAGGCTGGAACTAGTTAGCTGAGACTCGGAGCTTGCATAACATGCTTAAGGACATACCCCCTGGCCCAATTCAGTATATTATACAAAAAGAATCCATGTAAGGATTCTGTATGTCTATTTTTAATAATTTATAAAATGCAAGATAAAAATGAATGCAAATTAATAAAAGCAAAAAAATAAAAAAAAAGTGCAAAGAAAAAAAAATAAAAAGAAAAAAAAATATATAAAGAAATGACTTCCTCCTTCAAGACAAATACAATTTCAGTCATTTATTACTTTCTCTGACATTTCAACAAAATATCTTTTCTTCCTATCCTTATTTTTTATCTATAAATAAATCTTTAAAGCCTCTTCATTCAGACTTTATCAAGAAAATTTTATTAAGAGTTATCAGAAACAACACATATATTTTAATCTTAATCAAATAAACCCACTTTTTATTCTGTTTACTTCTAAGAATCTTGATCTCTCTTCAAACAGTGTCCTGCAAGCTAACATTTTATCCATTTATCTTTGTTTCCTCTGAGAAACTCCTGCAGAAGTTTAACACATCTATTTAGTAAATTACCATAAGAAAGCTACCCAAGTCACTCCTCTTAGTTATTATTTGTATATCCCCTTTATTTGGACATCAGCTGGTTTCATTTGTAAATACAGTGTAATTTCCACATTGTAGCTTGACATTTTAAAATCTATTTTCTGATCCACATTTAAAACAGCTTCAGTCTCTGTTTTATCCTGTAAAATCTGTTCCTCTTCCATAATTTCTTTTGAAACCATTTTTATAATACTGGACATTCTTAAGAATAATTTCTGAATGCAGTGTTCCAAAAGATCTTTGAATAATGAATATTACCATTCAGTATTAATCTTTTCATTTAATTATAACCTTTAATTTTCCTAGTTCCCTCTAGTCCAGGGGTCCCCAACTCTCGGACCGCAGCCTGTTTAAAACTGGGCCATACGAGTGATGAGCAAGCATGTGTGCACCTATGAAACTCAACCCACGCATGAGTGGAGGACACTTGAGCAGATGCCATTTGTGGAATGGAGTGGAGAGTGCTTGCATGCAAAGCTCCATTCATGCAAATGGAGCTTTGTGAGTGAGCACTCTCCGCTCGAGCAAGTGGAGTTTCATGCACAAGCACAAGAGCCCTCGGCTCAAGCACCCTCTGCTCACACCAATGGAGCTGTGTGCATGCTCCTATCACTCACTCACCCCCACCCCCACCTACTGGGCCGGGCCACCAAGGTGGAAAGGTTGGGGACAGCTGCTTTAGTCAACCTTCAAATCCCCTCTTAAGTTGGTTTAAATCAACAACACTTTCCCATGGGAAGGTTTCTTACAGTTAGTTTCAACATCTTCAAATATGTTTAGATTTTAAACAACCCACAAGTATCTGGCCTCTTAATCTATAATTTTCCCAAATCAATGTTCTGGTAACCCTTTCACTCTTTATTCTAAAATGTTATTTTAAGTCCTTAAACTTGCATGAAACTTCTTTCATCAAGGATAGAAGGAAACTTACCTGATGTAATGAAACTTGCCCTCTTGAAAATTCTTAACATCCAAATATCCATTAGCAAGCAATTTCCTAAACTGGATTAAGAAAGGAAGTATATGAAACCCAATAGTAAGTTTCTAAAGGAGAACATCCAGTTTTAGAGGTTTCCCTACTGCTAAAGTAAAGAACTGAAAACAGAATGTTGACATAACATACCCTGACAAATACAATTTTTAGCTGTGATTTGATAGAATACCATCATTTTGGAATACAATAAGACATTTTGATTGTTGAGTTTCCCATGTTTGCTTTATTATACAGTAAGCATCTGGCATTAGATAAAAAAAATCAAGCTGTTACCTGGGAAGTGCAAAACTGTCATCAGATTATAAGATGCTCCTATTTTTCAAAGGTCTTCAAAACAGTTCTTTTTACTGGATTAGAAAGGTAAAAGAAGTAGTCATTATCTGGACTTAGCAAAGAGAATCAATGTGATTATTTGAAGCTGCCTTTCTTGTGAATATGTAAAAACCAAGCTGTTGATGTCAGTTAGGGACAAAGACTAGAAAGGACATGAAGGATGAAATCTCCCACATAACAAAAGAAAACTGAGGGATCCTTGAATAATAAACATAGGAAGGCTCCAGCTTCACCCACCCAAGCACAATAAGAAAAATAGGAAGTATTTATTTAATTTAACAATTTAACCTTGTTTTAAATTAGTTTATTTGATTTATGGGAAAATCTTATTTGCTTTACCATTCAAGGCTTCTATGACTTATGAACTACAGCTATATTTATAAAAAGCAATTATTTGCAAATATAAAGTATAAACCAAGAAACCATAGTATTCAGATTATCATATTATTTTTTTAAGGAAACAATTCAAATACAACAGAATGGATTGAAATATAGAATATTGTGAATGAAAATGGAATTGAAGATTAGTTGCTGAATGTGATAGAAAAAATTATATGAAAATAAAGCATGTGGAAAAATAAAGGTGTGAAAATCCATTTATTAATTGGGGTCATATCACCATCAGTTCTGGCCACAGGCACAAGACTCCTTGTAAGCCCTGGTGTTCTTTGAAACCATTCCTTACTTCAGGGAGGGTTGAACGTATTTGATCAGTCTGTTTCTAACACAACCTTTGACTGAATAAGTGATACTATCAAAGTGCTGACCCAGAGACTAGTAGGGTCTAGATAGCTATAAATAATTTGAGGCTTAATCACAGCAAAATGGAGAGGCGCTAGGTTTATAAACAATCTCGAAGAGATACTGTTTCCCCATCCTATGTACCAGTTACCATCCCTCTTGGGTTAAGAGGCTTTATTCACAATCACTCATGTCTTAGTCATCTCTTCACAGTCACACATGTCTTAGTCATGTCTTGATTGGATTGCACTGTACATGGGACTGTATTTGAACATTCAGAAGATAGAATCATAATGTAACTAGAATTATCACTTCACATGATCTCAGTATTATATATCTATTGATGTAGCCCAAGATTGCATTCACTCTTTTGGTAATTTAAGCACATTGTTGGCTCGTATTTAATCAGTCATCTACCAAAAGATCAATATCCTTTTTGCAAGTATAACCATTGAGCCAGGTACTATCTATCTAGTGCTTGTGTATATAATTTTTCCTATTTACTGTAAGTACAAAGCCTTTATTTCTTGCAACTGAACTGCATTTGGAAAGTGTGCAATGTTCAAGTTAACAAGATCCTGTCTTCTGAGGTATTAGCAATCTTTCTCCACCACTAAGCTTGGTATTGCATGCAGATTTGCTGTGCATCTTTTATATCCCCTCCTAAAAAAATGTTGACTGGTGCTGGGCCCAGGGCAGAACTCTGAGCTTAACTTTCTTCATGTAGACATATATCTCTTAAGGCTCATGCACTGATGTAGCTGTCTAATCAACTGTGAACCCATCTGATAGTGGGACCATCCATTCCCTTTTGTTCCATTTTATCATAAACAAGGCAATGATCAACTTTATCAAATGCCTTACTGAAGTAAGTCTATGTTCAATAGCTACAGGTTACATTTACTTCATCCAGAATGCAGCTTTAAAAAGCTGCAACTTTGTATACTTGAATTGGCTTCTGAATGCAATTCTAGATGCTGGTTGTAAGCTTTAAAGCTTTTCATGGTTCAGGCCTGGTTATCTGTGAGACTGCCTTCTCCCAATAATATCTGCCTGTCCAATATGATTGATCGTGAGGGTTCATTCAGGTCACATCCCTCAGAGTCTGCCATCTCCATACTTGAAACATTCTTTTTCAAGTATGCCTGTGCCTTTCTCTCCCAGCTTTTAGAAAGCTGGTTGTCACAAGGCTAAGCTAGAATATTAAGATTGTTCCCTTTGACGAGGAACGTTTGAATTTTGATCTATTGAGTGTGGAATTTTTAAAATATTTTTCTTGCTTCCTATTAATTTGATCCATTCCTTTCATATTTCTATATTTGTTTTCAATCTGAATTTTCAAAAATGAGAATGAGAAAAGGAGGGTCTTTAAAATCATATGTGCATAACACGTGGCCTGCAAATTATTATTGTTGAACTCCGCAGTGTCCCTTATTAGTGATTAGGCTAGCCAAGATCTTGGAAGTTGTAGTTCAGCAACATCTAGAAATTTGCAAATATGTAGCCATGCCATATTTCAATTACCATCCATTTATTGACATTTTAGAGATCATAGAAGCTATCTGCAATTTGGTCTGGAAATAGGTGGAGCAGTAGATATTACAGTATAAGAAACTATAGGTAGTCCTTGATTCATAACCAGACTAGAATTTTGGTTGTTAAACAAGGTAGTCATTAACTAAATCACACACAATTATACAACCTTTTTTGCATGGTTGTTAAGTGAATCACTTGCAGTTGTTAATAATGTGGTGGTTAAACAAATTTGGCTTCCTTCCCCCATCGACTTTTGTTCTGACCGTATAGCTCTATGTAACCTCGTATAGCTCTATGTAACCCTAACTAGTGAGCATGTATCAGTATGTTAGAATATCTGGCAGTTATTGGGTTAAATGCTGGGTTTGTTGATGGGTCATTGGGAGGAGTTTCTAAAGGGCATTGGGAGACTTCCTGGACACAAGCCAGATTGGAATGTCTTTGTCTGAAAGAAGCATGGGCCATCAGATGTCACCCAATGAGCCTGCGCCGTTATAAAGATGGTATGGAAGAGAGCATCATTCTTTTACCTATAGGAATAGATAAAAGATGTATTTTCCAGAAGTAACAACCACAGCATGAATGCAAGTAATCTTTCTGATTGAAATATATCTATTGTTATGAAATCATTTCTATTGAGTTATCTATCTGACTTGATTTAAAAGAAGGCATTTTTAACTCAGAGTCAGAATAAGTTTGCTTGTCTGAAGCCAGCTGAGAAGGTCACAAATGGCAATGACATGATCCTAGGACATGACAACATCATAAATACATGCCAGTTGTCAAGTGCCTTAATTTTGTTCATGTGGATATCCTGCTATAGTTTTAAGTTACCTTTCCAGGGTAACTTCAAAAGGTTGCTAAATGAATGGTTGTAAATCGATGACTACCTGTATGTGAGCCAGCTGAAAATGAAAGTAAGTGCCTGATGCATTTTCAGAGATACTCTCGTTCATTGAAGACACTCTCATTTACAGAAAACTGGAAAAATGGGTATTTGTTTCTCTGCCTGCCTGTGGCTGTTTAGGTTTCTCTCCCTCCCAACAAAATACGGAGGGGCATGACATTCCTATATTACTAAAGACAACAACCTTTAAAACCTCCCCTTATTAAAATGAATGATGATAATCTTATACAAATATACTTTTATTCCGTTCCTGCCAATCCCCATATGGCACAAACCACCAGAATATGTTTCATTTCTCACTGAAATTAATGGCAGTTGTGTTTTTGCCTATTAATTTCAACAGGACTTGCAGAGGACAGATTCCTAGTGGCTTAGAGTCATCAACTCAGATATTTCTCTTATTCTCGGTACTGTTAATGGCATACAGAATCCGCTACATACTTAAGCCAGCTATCATATATGATCAACTGGAAATACTTTGCACCTGGGATCTGTGTTACTAGTGGCCACAGAGAGCAGGGCAATGATGTCATTCCCCCCCATTTCTTTGGATTGTGACTGATTCTCAGAGATTCCCTGCAGTTTTCTTGGCAAGGTTTTTCAGAAGTGGTTTGCCATTGCCTCCTTCTTAGGTGGAGATTAAGTGACCAGTTGAAAGTTATCCAGCTGGCTTTGTGTCAAATGGGACCAGAACTCATGGTCTCCTGTTTTCTAGCCTGACATCTTAACCATTACACCAAACTGACTCTTAATGATGTAGGGTTTCTGCCTGAGCAGGGGGTTGGATTCGATGACCTCCAAGGTCCCTTCCAACTGTATTATTATTATTATTATTATTATTATTATTATTATTATTATTATTATTATTAAGCCAGGCTATTTAATTGTTGCTTGTTTTAGAGGGGCTGGTGTGAGATTTCTGGCCACTTCTGGCTTCTTCTGAGGGCTTATCATACCTTCTTTATCTTCCAATAAAACATTGATGTGAAATTGTACGGCTTGATAACTGGTGATTTGCTGCCGAATTTCAGAAGCATGGCCCCAGAAAGTTCAGGGGGCTGCAAAATAGCTTTGTGAACTGTATGCAAACTATATAGGTTGCCTACCACTGCTTTAAATTATACCACCGTAATCTCTGAATCATGAAATTAGTCATTTCCAGGTGCTTCCTCAAGCCTTCTAGAAAGTTGCAATAATTGTCAATTAAGTTGAGTATTGGTAGATGTCCTTTCCTTCACTGGAGGCATTTATGACTATATGTTGGCCTTAAAAAACAGTTGCACTGTGAAGTACGTTTCTTGACCATCAGTGAACTAGAAGCCCACAGCAAAAAACAGATTGAAGACAGATTGCACAGATGATAAACTGGGGTGCTATGTAGATAGGGAGTGGCACCAAAGATGACATTTAAATATTCAGCATTAACTCAAGACATCTGTCACCATACACAGCAGTAAGTGGGCTTTGCTGATGCTTGGAACAGAAACAATATGTTCTGGTCCTCATAATCACTTTGGATTGGGGGGGGAATTCTACTTTTGCAGAGAATTCTTTTAGTGACTAGTATAAATCCGTATATTTTATTATAGCAATCCCAACACAAATCCTTTAATAAATGGAGTTGTTATTAATGTGCAGATGTTAAATAATAACAAAAAAGCAATAAACATGAATCCCTTAGTAATCTTGCTGATCCCAAATGATAAGAGCAAGAAATCAGAATAAATGCATACTGATTTTTATTATTATTTTACACATGCTTTATTTTTTCCCAAATTTCCCCCTTTATTTCTAAGTGGCTCAATTTGCAATTTCAAAAATTAACTTTTC